TTTTGTTGGTTCTCAAACATCTTCCTTTTTTCTGAACCATCAGATAGAACGTTCATGAACTTCCCCACAGCTCCAGCAGAGCTCTGGACGTCACTCTGTGTTTGCAGACGACTCTGAAACAAACACATTCAAATCTAATACAACTGTCCCACTCTTGTAGATGGACAGTCAAATACATTTTGTTTCATGGAAACAGTCCTTACATTAACTCTAATTTCAAATAAAACACCACAAACATGTTTTAACAATGACGACATTCTAGTCCAGAGAAGCACATAGAATCTTTGAAAAGTCTCACCTCCAGATCAGCTCTGATAATCCTCCTGCTCCACACTGTGTGTCCTCTGCTCTTGTATCTGTCCTGTGTCCTGTTACATTTGAATTTTCCCTCCAAATGTTTTGGGGAGGAGAATTCCAGAGGGAGGAGCCTCACCACAGATTATAATAAAGTCATGTTTCCTCAACCTGATTAAAACCTGCAGGTCTCACATCGACCACAATCAAGTGACCTTTGTAAGATTTAAACATGCTGGACAGAGAAACGTAAAAAAGTCATGTTATTGTTGTCAAATTAGTTTTTGCAATTTGAGCAACCCCCTCAGACATTTATTCAGTGCTGCTGAGCGTCTGAGATCTGACGATATCAGGCTTTGACAAGCTGATATGACCACAACACAAAACAACACAAAACAACACAACACAAAACAACACAACACAAAACAACACAACACAACACAAAACAACACAAAACAACACAAAACAACACAACACAACACAAAACAACACAACACAAACAACACAAACAACACAACACAAAACAACAAACACAAACAACACAAAACAACACACAAACAAACACAACACAAAACAACACAAAACAACACAAAACAACACAACAAACAAACACACAACACAAAAACAACAACACAAAACAAACAAACACACAAAACAACACAAACAACACAAACAACACAAAACAACACAAAACAACACAACAAACAACACAAACACAACACACAACACAAAACAACACAAAACAAACACAAACAACACAACACAAAACAACAAACACAAAACAAACACAACAACACAAACAACACACAAACAACAACACAAAACAACACACACAAACAACACAAAACAACACAACACAAACAAACACAACACAAACAACACAAAACAAACAAACAAACAACACAAAACAACACAAAACAAACACAACACAAAACAACACAAAACAACACAAAACAACACAACACAACACAACAAACACAAAACACAAACACAACACAAACACAACACAAAACAACACAAAACAACAAACACAAAACAAACACAACACAAAACAACACAAAACAACACAAAAACAAACAACACAAAAACAACACAAAAAAAACACAAAAAAAAACACAAAAAACACAACACAAAACAACAACAAAACACACAAAACAATACAACACAAAACAACACAAAAAAACAAAACACAAAACAAACACAAACAACACAACACAAAACAACACAAAACAACAACACAACACAAAACAACACAAAACAACACAAAACAAACAACAAACAACACAACACAAAACAACACAAAACAACACAACACAAACAACAAACAACAAAAAAAACACAACACAACACAAAACAACACAACACAAAACAAACACAACACAAACACAAAAACAACACAAAACAACACAAACACAAAAACAAACACACACAACACAAACACAAACACAACACAAAACAACACAACACAACACGAGTATTTCTCACAGATCTATAATTAATAATATGTAATTTGTATAATAATCTTTAATAAAGATTTGTGCTGAATTTGGTTTAACAGAACATCTCAGGTCATGTGTTGAAGGATTGTTCAGAGGACTTTTCCTTTTATTTTATTATTATTTAATTTAGAAGATTGAGAGTGAACACAAACAAACAACACAACACAAAACAACACAAAACAACACAAAACAACACAAAACAACACAACACAACACAAAACAACACAACACAAAACAACACAACACAACACAACACAACACAACACAAAACAACACAACACAAACAACACAACACAAAACAACACAACACAAAACAACAACAAAACAACACAACACAACACAACACAACACACAAAACACAAACACAAAACACAACACAACACAAAAACAACACAACACAAACAACACAAAACAAACACAAAAACAAACAAACACAAAACAACACAAAACAACACAACACAAAACAAAACAACAAAACAACACAAAACAACACAACACAAACACAACACAAACAACACAAAACAACACAACACAACACAAACAACACAAAACAACACAAAACAACACAAAACAAACAACACAAAAACAAACACAAAACAACACAACACAAAACAACACAACACAACACAAAACAACAAAAAACAACACAAAACAACACAAAACAAAACAAACACAAAACAACACAAAACACAACACACAACACAAACAACACAAAACAACACAACACAAAAACAAAACAAAAAAACACAACACAACACAAAACAACACAAAACAACACAACACAACACAAAACAACACAAAACAACACAACACAACACACAACACAAAACAACACAACACAAAACAACACAACACAACACGAGTATTTCTCACAGATCTATAATTAATAATATGTAATTTGTATAATAATCTTTAATAAAGATTTGTGCTGAATTTGGTTTAACAGAACATCTCAGGTCATGTGTTGAAGGATTGTTCAGAGGACTTTTCCTTTTATTTTATTATTATTTAATTTAGAAGATTGAGAGTGAGAACATCATTTCAATTTTTCATTTTGTTCATATGTAAATTTGACAATAAACTTTTTAAATTGAATTAAACTGAAGAAGCAATTAAATCATTTGTTTTTTTAATTGCTGGTTTTATTTCTATATGTTTGTTTGCTCATATTATGAAGTTGATAAAAATAAAATAAACTCCTTTAGCCTTTTTCAGTCTTGTTAAAAATGTAGTGGAGTAGAAAGTACAGCTACCTGCTTTCAAATGTAATCAGTGTTGGGGAGTAACAGATTACATGTACCAGCTTTACGTAATCAGAGTACAAATTATGAGTAACTGTATTCAGTTACAGTTACTGTTTTAATGAGTGGTAATTGGATTACAGTTACTTTGTTAAAATAAATGGATAACATGGTGCTATTTTCCTGTTTTCAAATTTTGGGTGAAACCAGGACTAAACTGGAACTAAAACCAGGACTAAAACCAGGACTAAAAGCAGGACTAAAAGCAGGACTAAATCAGGTCTAAACCAGGTCTAAAAGCAGGGCTAAATCAGGACTAAACCAGGACTAAAACCAGGACTAAAACCAGGGACTAAAACCAGGACAAAAAGCAGGACTAAACCAGGTCTAAAAGCAGGACTAAAACCAGGACTAAACCAGGGCTAAACCAGGGCTAAACCAAGGCTAAACTAGAACTAAAAGCAGGACTAAAACCAGGACAAAAAGCAGGACTAAACCAGGTCTAAACCAGGTCTAAACCAGGACTAAACTAGGGCTAAACCAGGACTAAACCAGGTCTAAACAATATGACACCTAACAGTGGGTGGACATAATTTAAGGTGATCTCATTTAGCAAAAGCAAAGCATTTCTCAGTAAACATATCAATAATATGTTTAATTTGTTTAAGGAAAGACTGGGCTTTTGATTTTCTTTTAGCAGATAAAACATCTTATGTGAAGATCTTCGTCTTTGTTTCTCTACAGTAAAACAAAAGTCTGTTCATTAAGACTTGGGCTCAACAGACAATTTGAAGAGAACAAATGACAATTTTCAGGATGTGGTTGATACATTCATGTAGTTTTAAAAAACATGACAATATCAAGTAATCCAAAGTAATCAGATTACATTACTCACTTTAGGTAATTTAATGGATTACGTTACAAAGTACATTTTGAGGTATGTAATATGTAATCTGTAGGGGAATACATTTAAAAGTAATCTTCCCAACACTGAAAGTAATGAAGTAAAAAAATAAATAGTATCCACTTAAAAATGTACTTAGGTAAAATACACTTACAATACTTTACTACTTTTACTTCGTTACATTCAAGTGTTGGGAAAGTTACTTTTAAAATGTATTCCCCTACAGATTACATACCCTAAAATGTAGTTTGTAACGTAATCCATAAAATTATTTAAGGTGAGTAACGTAATCTGAATACTTGATTTGCTGTAGAGAAGCAAAGATGAGGAAGTACAGCATGATTTAGTCCTGTTAAATCCTGTTTTAGTCCTGGTTCAGTCCTGGTCTAGACCTGGTTTAGACCTGGTTTAGACCTGGTTTTAGTCCTGGTTTTAGACCTGGTATGGACCTGGTTCAGACCTGGTTTTGACCTGGTTTAGACCTGGTTCAGACCTGGTTTAGACCTGGTTTAGACCTGGTTTAGACCTGGTTTAGACCTGGTTTAGACCTGGTTTAGTCCTGGTTTAGACCTGGTATGGACCTGGTTTAGACCTGGTTTAGACCTGGTTTAAGACCTGGTTTAGACCTGGTTTTAGTCCTGGTTTAGACCTGGTTTAGATGTTGTTTTAGTCCTGGTTTAGACCTGGTTTAGACCTGGTTTAAGATCTGGTTTAAGACCTAGTTTAGTGTTCAGCACTGAGTGGAATTACTGGCAAAAGAAAAAGGGATATAGCCCCAAAATGTGAAAACAGGAAAATACCGGCGTGTAATCCATTTATTTGAAAAAAGTAACTGTAATCCAATTACCACTCACTGAAACAGTAACTGTAACTGAATACAGTTACTCATAATTTGTACTATGATTACGTGACTCCGGTACATGTAATCCGTTACTCCCCAACACTGGTTACGTTTTACCACTGAAGTAACTATTGTATATAAGTTACAAATTCTACATGCAGTTACACTATAATGCAGTAGGTGGCAGTAAGGATCTTGTCGTTGGTTTGTGGTCCGCCCATTCAATCCGAATAAGAAACGGTTCATATACTTCCATGATCCAGGTTAGACTCAGGTCTGGTTCAGGCGTGATCCAGGTCCAAACACATCAGGACAGCGCCGGTGATTGTCCGGACTGAGCCTGGTCAGAGCGCACGGACACGACGCGGAGACATGGGTAAGCGCGCGTCTCTCTTCTGCCTCTCGGGCTGACACATGCCAACGAGCTCTAGTAGTATGATTAATCTGGTTTTTGTTTTTGGTTTTTTTAAGCTGTAAAGTCCACGAAAACTTCGGTGTGTGCGCACTGACAGCCCGTTAAACGTGAATAATGCTCAACTTAATAGGCTGTTGTTTTCACACAGGGTCCGGGGAAAAGTTACAACAAGACTACAAGAGGCACCCTACTCCCACGTGAAAACACTACAGGTATTTTTGCATAGAAGTTCACGACATCCTTTACTGTCTGTTACGTGACAGCTGCTCTCAGTCTCACCTGACACGTACACGTAACGTAATCCACGTTTATGGCACAGTGGCTCTTTATGACTGTGTGCATGTTGGACTGGTTTGTTCAGGTGACAGATGAGCTGAGCATAATCTAAATGTACCGCGGTAAACATGGTGTGAAATGTTAACTGTACTATTGCTAAAACCGTCTGGAAGTGCCGCTTGATGTTAAAGGGCACTAGATTACGCGCTTTTCTGATCTACAGTATAATTATATTATGTTTATAATGTTTATAATGTAGTTTCCTCATCACAAATATACCCGGAGTTGTGTTGTTTCATTCACACATGTTTAACACACAAACCCTGCATGTTTAGACTGAATTCTTCTCTCAAACAGAAAAGATTCTGTTCCACCTTGTGATGTCATGTGGTAGTACATGAAGGGCTCCACTGTGTTTTTAAACTCCACACATCTTCACTAGAATCATTTGGTTAATTTCTGCCCTGGAGCTGCCTATGTCCACCTTTACTGAACTAAAGGTAAAAGGAGCAGTTAACTTGAAAACTACCACATGACATCACAAAGTGGAACATTGGATGTGTAAACAGACAGCTCCACAAAACAACAATAAGACAAGTTCAGGTATGTTTCTGAGGAGATAACATTATAACATTATAACATTATAACATGACTTAAAGTTCACAAGAATCTATTTAGTTTAAAATGACCTTTTAAAGGTTAGACTACTTATTTCATTAAAATGTAATTAACATAGAAATCTTATGCCTAATAATCTTGCCTAGTTTTTCTAGTGTTTCAATCCTGGTGAACTTTACAATCGTACTTCCTGTTTGATCATACAAACCGGTAGTTTCATGACTGTTCCCTAGCAACGTGCTGAATCATGTTTAGGAGGGGCTCTTATGCAAAACCAACTTGGAGCTTTCATTATGTTATAAAACTGTATCCTCATCAAAAACATGTCAGAATAGGTTTTACAGTCATCCATGCATGTCTGAGTAATCTAGTGATCCGTCTCAGGCCCTATTCAAACCCTCCTTACAGTTCACTGTAAGATTCTGTGCAAGGCTCCGCCCACAAGGCTACACCACCCATACACCCACAGCACAATTCTCCATAAATATACAAAAAGATGATACAAAACTGTACGCAGCAACTTGACAAACCTGATGCTTTGTGCAGTAGTTTGATGAGCAGGAGACACACTGATTGTGTTGTAATAATGATGTGCAGTGTTGGGAAGTAGCACAGATCCTGCAGTGCGTGATTTTTTTTTTTGTCTCTAATTATACATAAATAAATGCACAACAAAAATAAAGCTGTTAGTGAAAAATTGTGTCATAGGATAACAATGCAGCTCGATGTAAATTATTTACAGGACCCTCTTTACTAATGTTTGTTGCAGTGAGGAGCAGCAATGCCTCAGTCCAGGATGCAGTTGGTGGTGACGGGTGATGACTTTGGGTACTGCCCACGGAGGAACCAGGGGCTGGTGGAGTGCTTTCTTTCCGGAGCCATCACCACAGTGTCCCTGCTAGTCAACGGCTCTGCTGCTCAACAGGCTGCTGAGTTGGCCAAGAGGTCAGTGCCAGCTCTGCACGCTGGAGCGTACAGGGAGTCCCGCTCAGTCGACTTTCCACTAGGGTTGGGACTATAAACAATAATATGGTTTATCGTGATAAATAGGGCACACAATAATTGTCCGTGGGACATTTTATATAATCGTGATAAATGCCAACAAAGAGAATCACCACTATATCACCAGAATGTGCAGAAAAAACCTACTTACTCATGATGATCTCGTCTAGATCATTGTTGTTTTCACTTATAACAAAATACAATTGTATAACAGTTGTTTAAATATGGAACCTATTCATAATATTCAAATTATATTTATTTATAACCATGACATTTTTAACCTGTCAAAACTCTCCAATCTGGTGGTATTGTCAAAATCACTCACCTGACACAACATTTGCCAGTGCCTCATCTCTGGGCCTGGTTAGTACTTGGATGGAAAACTTGCAGGAATGCAGGTGCCAAAGTGGAGAATCAGTGGCTCTAGTGAAAACACTTCCTAATTAGGGTTGTCATGTCATTTAGATCATAAGGATTTCTATGGCACCACAACACAAAGGAGAAGTGAGTGAGACAGCTAAAGATATGCTAGATTTTACTTTTTTATCTGTAAAAAGGCAGATTAATCTCGTGCTTCACAAGTTAAATTCATTCTTTCCTTGTACTATTTTCTGCATAAATAACAGTTTTTCAAGAACTCCCTCTGCAGGTGTAGTCTTGTGACTGCAGTTTGTTCAGATACACACAGATATAAAATAGCTGTATTTATCCAATCGCACATGTCAGCCATGTATTTTCATGTCCTCGTGGTCCCATTGTGTATCTTTGGAAAGAGTCAGTTCATTGTCAGTGTCTGATATGGGGAAACTCTGTTTAAAGTCAAGCAGTTTGAAGCGACTCTGTCCTACCATAACACACCATTCTGAACAGTTTTCAAGCCATGAGTGTCTGTAAACTATTTTAGATAAATATATGTAGTATTATTCCATGTATTTGTTGTCTGACAGATTACAAAAGACATTTGTCTGTGAGTTGTTCTGGAGCTGTGTGGACAATGCTCACATTAAGCTGCTCATGTTATTCAACATTATCATGTTATTTTCTGAACTATGTTATGTTGTTTCCTGAACAAACCTGGACTTAGACTTAGACAAACTTTACTGATCCACAATGGAAATGACTTGGACACAGGAGCTCACACATCACAATATATTACAATAACAAAGAGTCAAAAATATAAATGGTAATAATAAATTCAAAATAAGTAGCAAAAAAGATCAAATAAGGCATCATTATTTAAATGTAAATGTACAAGTCAAAATAAAATAGAAAAATAAGTAATACAAAATGTCAGCTAAAGAAGAGGTCATAAGTGCAAAAACATGCACAATCAGAGATAGCAACCTGGTCCTCCATGAGGCATCAGTGGGGGCAGTTCATCACCACGGAAGCAGCTTGCCGATCCTTTATAATGGCGTGACCTTTCAATTGACCCGTGTGACCTCAGTTGACCTCGGATCGTCACCAGACTTTTTTTTTTTTTTTGCGGCATCGGGCACAGGGGCTTGACCCACCTACCAAATCTGGTGACAATCAGTCCATAAATGGCGGAATTATCACGGGTGGACAGACACACACAGACACACACAGACACACACACACACACACACACACACACACACACACACACACACACACACACACACACACACACACACACACACACATACGTACATACACATACATACACAGACACACACATACATACACAGACACACACACACATGTACAGACACACACACACATGTACATACACATACATACACATACATACACAGACACACACATACACACATACACACACACACATGTACATACACATACACACACAGACACACATACACATACATACACAGACACACACATACATACACAGACACACACATACATACACAGACACACACAGACACACACATACACAGACACACACACACAGACACACACACACACACGTACATACACATACACACACAGACACACACAGACACACACATGTACAGACACACACACACATGTACATACACACACATACACATGTACATACACAGACACACACAGACACACACACACACATGTACATACACATACACACACAGACACACACAGACACACACAGACACACATACACATACATACACAGACACACACATACATACACAGACACACACATACATACACAGACACACACAGACACACACAGACACACACAGACACACACAGACACACACAGACACAGAGACACACACGCACGCACAGAGACACACACACACACACACACACACGATGAATACAAAACCTGGTCAAACCTTCGGGGACCAGATAATGATGATTGACAGGACATAGGGTTATCTGTTCCATAAGGGTTAGATGTTGTACAGTTGTAGGGAGTATTATCTGTTCCATAAGGGTTAGATGTTGTACAGTTGTAGGGAGTATTATCTGTTACATCAGGGTGAGTTGTTGTATAGTTGTAGGGAGTATTATCTGTTCCATAAGGGTTAGATGTTGTACAGTTGTAGGGAGTATTATCTATTACATAAGGGTGAGATGTTGTACAGTTGTAGGGAGTATTATCTGTTACATAAGGGTGAGTTGTTGTACAGTTGTAGGGAGTATTATCTGTTCCGTAAGGGTGAGATGTACAGTTGTAGGGAGTATTATAGTCTGAATGTAGTCCTGTATCTCACACTGTTTGAGTGGAGCTGTAGGAGCCTGTTGGAGAATGAACTCCTCTGTCCCTCTATAGTCTGGTGCAGTAGGTGAGTTATTGTATAGTTGTAGGGAGTATTATCTGTCCCTCTATAGTCTGGTACAGTGGGTGAGTTGTTGTACACTTGTAGGGAGTATTATCTGTCCCTCTATAGTCTGGTACAGTGGGTGAGTTGTTGTACACTTGTAGGGAGTATTATCTGTCCCTCTATAGTCTGGTACAGTGGGTGAGTTGTTGTACACTTGTAGGGAGTATTATCTGTCCCTCTATAGTCTGGTACAGTGGGTGAGTTGTTGTACACTTGTACGGAGTATTATCTGTCCCTCTATAGTCTGGTACAGTGGGTGAGTTATTGTACAGTTGTAGGGAGTATTATCTGTCCCTCTATAGTCTGGTACAGTGGGTGAGTTATTGTACAGTTGTAGGGAGTATTATCTGTCCCTCTATAGTCTGGTGCAGACTGGTGCAAACTTACATACAACTACTTTAAAAAACTGTCTTCCTCTTTTCATGTTTTGAAGATTAGGTCCCCCAGCTTTAATATCCAAATGAATTGTTAATACTGTGATAATACAGTGTACATGTGGTAGCATTCTACTGTTTAAAAGTATCTCGTTTGTGTGGTCAGACATAGTATCCCCATCGGGCTCCACGCTAACCTGTCGGAGGGCGTGCCCGTGTGCCCCAGCCTGCTGCAGTCCTCTCTGGTGGACCACCGCGGGTTCTTCCACGGAAAGATGGGCTTCCGACGCCGCCTGGAAAGAGGGCAACTGTGCCTCACACAGGTGGGCCGCAGGATGTGGAATCTTGCATTGATTACACTATTAATGGTAAAGGTGGTGTATTATGTAAAAGACATTTCTGAGCTGTTACTTATAACAGTACTCCCTCATCATAAGCTGAGTCAAGAGGTTTATTTCAGTTGCTTCATACATGTTGAGTGATCCTGTATTGCTCTGTGTTCAAAGCACAAGTGCTCAGAAAATGTCTGTTTCACTTTCCTACTATTTCCGCCCACTGCTCTGTACTTCAAATTACTTGAAGTAATGTCTGGTATGTGAGCAGCTTTATAAAATCATACTTTCTGAATGATAAAGTGAAGTTAAGGGACACACAGCTAAAAACACTTTTAATTGTAGGTTTGCTTGTTTGAAGTGTATTCTACAGAAATAACTATATCGTTTTATTTGTGACCTGAGTCTTTATGATGCCCTCTTATCAGAATGATTTGGAGTGAGGTGGCATGGTAGTACCTGGGCCTTTCCTTGTGGAGCTTGCACATGATTGGCTCTTTGATTTTGTGCTGGGATCACATATGGTTGCAGATTAGTCCTTATAGCTGCAGGTGTCTGGATGGGTTTCCTCTGGACACTCCAGTTTTCCCCATCAACCCAAAACATGCAGCAATGGTCAAATCCTTCAGCTAAGGTAGACCTACACAAGAACTTCTCTGGATCTGGAGATGGTCTCAGGCATAGCATTGCAGCACCCACTGCTCCTGATGAGATTACTCTGTGGTAGTGAAGGATGGGTCAAATAGAGAGGACAGATTTCCCTATGGGGACAATAAAGTGCACGCGAACCAAATGATCTTCTAGACTAGGGGTGGGCAAACATTTTGACTCGTGGGCCACAAAGGGTTCTACAGTTTGACGGAAGGGCCGGACCAGGAGCAGATGAATGGAGTTTTTTGGTAATCTACCTCATAAGAGAAAAAAAAACATGGATTATGAAAAAACATATCCCATATTTAATATATCCAAAATATCTGTCTTTCAAGTCCCACAGGATTTGCTATTTATTGAAATAACTTTTAAAACACTGAAAATTCTTCTTATTATTATTGCTCTTCAAGTTTGGCTGGATTAAAAAGATTAAAGGGCCGCACATGGCCCCCGGGCCATAGTTTGCCCACCCCTGTTCTAGACTTTCCTACCAGTTAGGATTGGATCTGGATCTGTCAAAACAATGAATCATGTTTTTTGGGGTTTTTTTTGGTTCTCAGGTGGAGATGGAGCTGCGTGCTCAGGTGAAGCGCTTCATAGAACTGACCGGCCATCGCCCACAGCACATGGACGGACACCAACATGTACACGTGCTGCCAGGTAAACACCATAGACTGTAAATGGACATAGCTAAAGCTCTAGCTGCTGTGTTCCAAATGAGCGGGAAGTGGTTCCTTCAAGTTCTGGTTGCAGTTGACTTCTACTGAAAAAAAAACTGCTGCTGTGTGTCAGACTTGTCATTTTGATCTTAATGTTTGTATTAACCCACTCCATTTGGTCCTGCTGTTTTTATTTTTTCCCTAAATCAAGATATGAACATTAATATCAGACCAATAATGAGCTGCCCGCATTACGCCCCTCCTGCACGCACCCCTGCCAAACCAACGGTGCTGGCAGGAGGGGGCGTGTGCCTTCAACAGCCTTGTTCCTGATTGGTTCTTTGGTTTTGTGCTGGGACGTTCACACATGGTTCCTGGTTGCAAATTAGTCCCTATAACTGCTAATCTCACTGAGCTTCATTTGGTTGCAACTGAACACTATGGTGACGTCACACTCCTTTAGCTCATCAGTTCATTTCTATTACACAGTCTATGGCTGTGACACACACACATACACACACATGCACGTGCTGTCAGGTTCCACACACACATATATGCACATACACACCATCGTGTTGCTGGGTAACACACACACACACCAGCACTGAGCTGTTCACTGAAGACACAGCTCTGAGTGACAGTACTTCATTGTGCTGAGTGGAGTGAGTGTGTTATCCTGTGTTTCTGATGAAAGGGGGAGGGGCCACTACACACCTACTCCACCTCACTCACACATGCCACTGATAACAGCACTTTTGACACTAGTGGAAAAGAATTAAGAGATAAGATGTTGAACTCTGCACTGTTTCTGTTTCGAGTGGAGAGGACCAATAATTACACAAATCTGTGCCCATAAACCAGTAGTACAACTGCAAATGATTCCATCACAGAACTCACATCTTCTTTTTCCATTTTAACCAATGGGCTTTTCAGAATGTTGTGATATCACATGACATACTCCCTGTTCTTTTAGGCCCGTATAGAGTATGTTACAGAACAATTATACATTCAGCAGCATGCATGGATGACATCTAAAACCTCTTCTGGCACAGTTGTGACAAGGAAACAATGATATAACATGGCTCCAAAATGTTGATTTTATATAATACCCCCTCTTTATACATAACTTAGACTTAGACAAACTTTATTGATCCACAAGGGAAATGGTTTGAACAAGGAGAATGATTTGAAAACAATCTATTAAACATATTGTATAAATATGGTGCCCTGTAGGGCTCAAAACGAGAATATGAATCAATATAAATGTCCTTGGTAATGAAATATAAACATATTTAATCATTTAAATATGTAATATTAAAACAGACATATATTATATATTATATTAAAATAATTTTAAAAATCTATTTAATATTATTTATTCATTTAAATCCAGTATTATAAAAACCAGTGCATCCTTGTTTAATCCTATTTGTCACTATAATTTAAATATGAATATAATTAGGCGTTTAGAGGTGTAAACATCAGCATATACACATGTGGTCTGCTTTCATCCACACAGTATTATTATAGCTTACAGACATACAGACGTGGACAAAATTGTTGGTTCCCCTCTGGTAATGAAAGAAAAATCATCAATCGTCACTGAAATAACTTGAAACTGAGAAAAGCAATAATAAATGAAAAAATTCCTGACAAATAACCAATGAAAATCAGACACTGTTTTTGAACTGCTGTTCAAAAGAATAATTTTAAAAAACAAACTAATGAAACTGGCCTGGACAAAAATGATGGTACCCGTAGAAAAGATTGTAAGTAACTGAACAACAGGGACATGTTAAACTTTGGTGTGTCTCTAATCTGCATCACAGGTTCTTCAAACTTGTCCTCAGTCAGTCTGTCTGTTTAAAGGGAGACATGTGTCATTGTGCTGTTTGGAGACATGATGGACACAACACTGAACATGGACCAAAGAAAGAGAAGAAGAGAACTGTGTCAGGAGACTAGAAAGAAAATGATAGACAAGCAGGTTAAATATAAAGACAATAAGACCATCTCCAAGCAGCGTGATGTTCCTGTGATTACAGCAGTGCTTCTCAAATAGTGGGGCCCCCCAGGGGGGCGCGAGGCTCCGTCAACGGGGGCGCGTTTGACCTCGGGGAACATGCTTTTTTATTTTTTTATTTAGATTTTTTTTTACTGTCTTAAGGGCCGTTCACACCAAAGCGTCAAAAAACGCCTTGTCGCCTCTATTTGGAGCCTTTGCATTTGAGTTCAGACGCCCCCGACGCGCGTCTTTGACGCCGTGGACGAACGGGACAAAAATACTTGACGCGCGTCCGTTGCCCTGGAAACAAGAGCCCGGTCCCGGTATTTTCCCGAAACAATGTCAGACCAGACTGAGAGAGTGTTTTTATGACATAAAACATCAACGGAGGAGATCGGGTCGACGACTTGGGCGTATATATATTTATACTCCGCTAATGACACTGGATCAGTCCCGGTCTAGTCCTGGTCTAATACCGGTCTGGTCCTGGTCTAATCACGGTCTAGTCCCGGTCTAGTCCTGGTCTAATCACGGTCTAGTCCCGGTCTGGTCCCGGTCTAGTCCCGGTCTAGTCCCGGTCTAATCACGGTCTAGTCCCGGTCTAGTCCTTGTTTAGTCTCGGTCTAGTCTCGGTCTAGTCCTTGTTTAGTCCCGGTCTAGTCCTGGTTTGGTCCTGGTCCGGTCCTGGTGTAGTCCTCGGCTCGGTGATTGTGGCGTATATATTTATTCTCCGCTCGTGTTTGTGGTTCTCGTTCTGGTTCTCGGGTTTTTCTTCCTGATAATAACGTCGCTGCGTCTCTGGATACTCGTCCCTGATTGATTGACGCGGCGCGTCTGACGCGAAAAGTTCAGCATTTTCAACTTCTTGACGCTGACGCCTTGGACGCGCGTCTTGGCCGCTGACGCCAAAACGCTCAAGACGCGCTGCGCTGACGCCAGATTCGCGCCGCGCTGACGCCGAAAACGCGCCGCAAAAACGCAGGACGCTCTAGTCGCGCGTCCACATAGACTTTACATAGAAAGTGGACGCTTTGACGCTTTGGTCTGAACGGGCCTTTAGAATAAAGTGCAATTGCACTTCCACTACATTAGGGGGCAGAGCGCTCTCATTGGCAGAGTGTGCGCAGGGAGCATTCGCTCGGTGGTGTAGGAGTTTTGTTTGCACTGAGCATGCGCGCTTTGCACACAGCACAGAGTTTGAGTATGAAGTGTAGACACGAAGTGTAGCAGACCCTCAAGTGACACCATGAAAACATATTTAACAGGGATGAGAAGACAGGTGGAGAGAGACGGAGATAAAGAGACAAACGAAAATCTCCCGAAAGCTAAGACGAGGAAATATGACGAAGCGTATGTAGCGCTTGGCTTCACTGTGACTACGGTGGGAGACGAGGAAAGACCGGTGTGTTACTGTGTCTAAAAATGTTGGCAGCGGACAGCATGAAGCCCAATAAATTAAGGCGTCACTTAAATACATTACACCCCAATCACTCTGATAAGCCGCTTGAGTTTTTTCAGTGAAAACGTGCCGAATATTGCCGACAATCATCCCGCTTGTGACTGCTACTTCAGTAAACCAGTGAGCGTTGTTGGCATCATATAAGGTGGCAGTGTTAGGCAGAGGTGTACTTATAACAATTTTATAGACAAATGATACTATCTGTAGTCACGCGGGGGGGCGCGAGATGTTTTATTCGTCCTAGGGGGGGGCATGACAGAAAATAATTGAGAAGCACTGGATTACAGTTACACATGTTCTTCAGAAGTTTAAGGTCCACAGGACTGAAGAAAATGTAACATTGCTTGCTAATTATTGCTTTTCTCAGTTTCAAGTTATTTCAGTGATCATTGTTGAGTTTTCTTTGATTGCCAAAGGAGTACCAACAATTTTCTCCACGTCTGTACAGACTATGTCCCAATCTGAACATTAAACTATAACAGTGACAGTGGGCTGACTGTGTTGTTGTATGTGCAGGGGTGCGGCTGGTCTTTGCTCAGGTCCTGTCTGACTTGAGCATCCCGTTCACCAGAGTACCAGTGGAACCCGGTCTCCACAGCTGCCCATGGCTCCAGGCTCCTCTGAGGACCTTCTACAGCCAGGTGGAGCAGGACGCCCTGGATTCCATTCCTGTGTTCAGAAAATACTCCCTCAGGTGAACATACACAGCTCCCCAAGTTTACAGCAGGCTCTATTATCAAACAATCAGCCAATATGGCCTAAGAGTCACTCATGTCTGTTCAAATCTACTGTCTAAACCAGGGGTGTCAAACATACAGCCCGGGGGCCGGATCCAAGACCTTTAATCTGGCCCTCGGCTGATTTTTTACTAAAATATTTGAATTATATTTTCTACTAAAATATTGTTAATTTTCTGCGGTGCTGAGCATACCAGCATCTCCAGCGTCTCTGTACGTGGCCCCTCCCACCAGAGCAGCACAAATGAAGACTTGTCTCTTTCCAAACGCTCTTAAAGGACGATCGTTTTGACTGTTGACCGTGACAAAATGTCAACAAAATGTCCCAAAAGAAAAGTGAGAAAAGTGGAGCCGAGTGCAGGATTTTCCAAGAAAAATCGACTTATTCCTATTTACTTACACGTTAATGTTAAAACATTGTGCTGAAATTGCATTTTTCTTAAAGTTTCAGGTTTTTCATAATATGATAATATTTTGTAAAAGAAAGAGTTCATCAGTTCAAAAAGATTTCTGTTATAGATTTGCGTTTCTCTGCACAAATATTTGAACTTATTGTTATTTTTGGTGTATATATGCATTTTTTTTCCTGGCTCCTTTGAGATCAAAGTTGGTTGGATACTGTCCCCGGACCAAAATGAATTTTTCACTCCTGGTCTAAACAAATGTGTTTCAGGCACTGGCACATTAATGCTCCATCCAGAGTGAGAATGTGTGATGAATACAAACATGACAGTCAAGTATATATATTCATTTAGTCTGAAAACATTTGAAAATGTATAAAGTTCATAAACTGGACTGTTGTATTTCTTAAACATTTGAGCAGCAAACTAAACTATGAAGGGAAAACCACGTGTGAATGAATGTAAGTCTCATACACTCAGGTGCCCACTGAGACACTTTCATCAACATAAAGAAAGATGTAAATCACATCCTCTTTGTCTCGATGTCCAGGTCTCAGGCCACACAGAACATTTCATATTCAACATATCCAACATTTGGCCTTCAGACTGCTGAAACAGATCAGGGTTCTTTTATAAAACCAGCTCATACAAATCAGTTCAAATAATTCTACACTGGACAATAAAACATGACAACACACATAAATCACACACAGAACATAACCTCTCCTCTTCTGGGACTGTGGAGCACCTCACTTCCTCTAGAATCACCTCTCCTGCTTTGAGCTCAGTACATCAGCCTCTTTCACTGGCACGGTTCTCTTGGAGCGGGTTTGTTTGGTTTCCATACTCCAGGCTCCAAGTCCAGGGGCAGATCTCAGTCGTATCTGAATTATTCTTGTAATCACAAAGCTGATTTTAGCAATTAACAAAACATTTAATCATCTCAAGTTGGCTAAAGTTAAGCTAGTGCAAAAACTAAACTACTTTCCCTTTATGGTCTGCTTTTTCTACATGTATTTCACTTCACTCCTTTACGCTGCGTTCTTTACGTGACGCACTGGGTTTGGCCCATGTTAGATGTATTATGACATAAATATAATATATTCCATCTTTATAAGTGAGTACCATGCATCCATAAACAGGAAATAACTATTTTAGCTTTGTTTTGCTCACATGTCGGCTCAGCATTTAAGTTGCCATCACTGGAAACTTAAATGTTTCTGGTTTGTTGAGAAATTATTTTATTTGTATCAGCTTTTTGCCAGTGTTTCTCTTGGCCATTTTAACCACGTCCTCAGCAGTGCCACACCGGCCTCAGACCCAGACCCCTCTGAGAGCTAGAACCCTCCAGGGCCCCTTTCGGACCCCTCAAATTCAGTGGTAGGGCTAACATTACATTAACATTAGGCAGTGCAGACACAAGTGACCCAATGGAAATGAGGCTAAAGATACATCTAGCTTGTTTTTAAATAATATTGGACATAGGGCTAAATAATAATTAGGAAACTGCCCTTTAAACTGTAAATAACTCCTGTGCATTCGTCAGAAGACATCCACAGAGCAGTGGTTTAGGATGATACATATTGAATACACACAGATACTACATACTACAGTCTGTTTGACTAGAATGACCTCTTCACAGGTGGCCTGATGTGTACCTTGGACTGACCACAATGGGCCAAAACATGTCTGTGTCCAGCCTCCAGAGGGCGCTGTCCCACGCCCTGTCCACAGAGTCGTCTGACAGCACACCCAGGGAGCGCCCGCTGAGCGCCGAGCTGATGGTGCACCCCGGGTATCCCAGCCTACCCGAGGAGGGGGGCTGTGGGGAGGGGCCCGATGACTTCTCCCAGTCCTCTGAGCGACAACACGAGCTCCAGGTGCTCACAGACCCTGCTCTGAGTGCTGTGTACCAGAGCCAGCGGGTCCAGCTCTGTACCTTCAAAGAGCTGCACACAAGCACATGACACATACACACAACTCGGGGATGAAGATAAGATGAAACTCTCACTGTACTTCAAGGAGCGACTCAAGTTTTCAAGGAGAGGTAGAAGAAGTCAGCAACCACACCTATGAGAGGCTTCAAACACTCCTGGTGATGGTGCAATGATGTTGTATTCATCGAGGAGCCAAAAGATTGTTTGTTCGAAATCCACCTGGGCACTTTGCAGAGTTCTGTTTCATCCCTGCTGACCACTCTGACAATTCTCCAGGATTCATAGAACCGTAGTTACATTTGTAACTTTTGTAATGTGGCTGGTTTGGACGGGAATGGCATCCAGTGTAAAAATCAAACCAAACATCCAACCTTGTGACTGGCTGTATTTGTCAAGCTCTGCTAAAAAAGGTTTGTTAAAAGTACTGGTATTGATAAAGTAAAAGTGCTTTTTCCTTGTACTTGACACTTTTTTTACAATTTAAATGTAACAACATTGATCTTTCATGGTCTTGGCTGCTGTCCCTGTGCGTGTGTGCATGTTGCTCCAATTTTAAGAATTCATTTGTTAGACACAAGAATGATTTTAGTGACCATCAAATGCACTTATATCTGTTCTGATCCAAATGTACTGGGTGTTTCCATGGTCCTTTTTCTGACTGAAATGAACACTACATGAAGGTTTTTCAAATGGGACACATCAGGGATGCTTCTATCAACAGGATTCTACACGTACTGTATGTTCAGGTCTTTATTTGTATTTTGAGTTTGTCATTGTCTGTGGTATTTGTGTGTTTTTCACCTCAAGACATTTTAATATAGAATTTATAATTTAAGGTTTTTAAAAAACATGATTGTGGCAGGAATATTTTTTCTGTATTGATATTTTCATAAATGACAGAATGTTTTGATAGAAGTTAATTCTCTAGGTTCAGTTCACACCTGGTGTGCCTTTATGAAGGGCTTAGATCTGTTTCTGTAGTCTAGTCCTGTAGCTTTACATTGTTTACATTACTGCTGCTCACTTGAATGTGTTCTACCCTCACAATCGTCCAGTATGTTCATGCATTCATGTTAAAACTAACAGAACTAATCTGCCCTCCTTCTCAGTTTTGAACTTTTAGACTTGAACACAATCGTAGCAAAAGTAGCAACATCTACAAGTATGTAGCACCAAGAAAAGCATCCATAAACATGTGATGATCTGATTATGACTGAACACCTGGGAAATGCCTGTGTGAAGTTTGAAAGCCATAATGAGAAAATTGCATTGCATAATGTTTTGTGATGTGCTGCCAAGGACACCCGTCCTATCAAACCTCTCAGGGGCATTTTATTCATCAGCTTTTCTACAGGTTTTTAAACTTTCACTGTAGATGATGTTCTTAATAAAACAATTCTGTTTAAAAGAAGAAAAAAAACATTTGTATGTTACCTCTTACAGCCATCCCATTTCAATACACATCAGGAAACAGGCTTTTTTACTTTTGGGTTTGTCACTGCTCTTAACAGATTCAAAATGTATTCCCATGTTTCATACTCACATTTCATGATGATTATTTAGGAATGTAAATTATTTTCAAAATTACATTTATTTAAGCTTTTCAGTGAATGCATACATTCACGTTGAATGCAAATTGGAAGCATAGACCAACATATTATTATTGTTTAGAAAAGAAATATTCTGGCCAGTAATCAGACGTTACATAAATCACAATACATCTGCATTTTGACCTCACATAGCTCCACCTTATTATAACCTACACTATACACTACTCTTGTATGTTATGACCTAAATATAAGAGTGATAATATAACTGAGTTGACTAATTGTTCCTTTATGAGTAGATTTTTAAACATGCACTTGTACTGTTTTGCTAAAATAGAGCCAATTAACAGCACTGCAGTATGTGCTAGGACTGGCCAAAGCTCAGAGAATATGCAGACTGCTGTTGCAAACAACTCAAGTCATGTTTTAACTGTTAAATTATTGTATAGACTACTTGTGCTGCCAGCATTGGTACAATAGTAACTATGGTACTATGAGAAGTCATTTTCATGTGTACTTTAACGGGGCTGGATTATGCCGTTTTCTGATCACAGTTATGTTTCCTCATCCAAAACATACCCAGAGTTCTGATTTCTTTTGTTCACGTTTAAACACACAAACACTGCATATATAGGCTGAGTTCTTCTCAAGCAAAAAACACTCTGTTCCACCTTGTGATGTCATACAGGAAGTGCGCCACTGTTTTTAAACTTCATTCACCAGTCACTAGAATCATTTGGATAATTCCAGCCATGGATTTGCAAATCTCTACTGAACTAAAGTTAAAGGCGATGTTCACTTGAAAACTACCACTATGTGACATCACAAGCTGGAAAAAAAGCATTTTGAATTTTGGAGATGTAGACAGACTAATAATGCAGGATTACTCAAACGTGTGAATGAAATAAAACTTCAGGTATGTTTTAATTAGTTAACAACATAATAAGTGAGCTAAAAGTTCAGGACTTAATTTAGCATAATATAGGCCCTTTAAATTACATAAATATAATCTATTCTCAGTCCTACATTCTTCATGAGAATTAGTCCCTGCACAGAAATAAAGTGAGACGTGAGATCCAGCAGACTGCCTGGCGACAGTGAGGCCAATGCTTAGCCATCTTTATTATGAAACAAGACTGGGACCAGATCAGAGCTGTTACATAGTGGTCTTTTCCATGTCCTGGCACATCCCTGGACAGCGAGCCCCCTCCCAGAGGCCCGGACCCCCCCACCCCAGCCACTTTGGTCCCTTCGGCTGCGTGGATGCGGTAAAGGGCTGTGTCTAGAATGACTTAAGTATGACTGGGGGGGCATTGGTGAGGCCGTTGACATGCATGGACAGTTGTGTTAAAATGATATACCAAGTGTCTAAAAACTTAAACTGGAATACAGAATCATGGAACTTCAAATGAGGAACTAAAATATGTGACTATTGCTGTTTCTTTCTGATGCTCGTGGAAAATAAAAGTAACCCATCCTTCACTTTTCGCTCAACGAGTTACATCGCTTTTGTGCTCAGTGGCGGTGACTAATGTCAAGGCAGAGCTTGACTCTTTGCTTGTTTTCGTTTTTAAAAAAAATTATGTATACGTGACAAATTCAGTGCAAATCTACTCCGGAGTTCCTCAAGGCTCCATCTACGGCCCCTTCAACTTTTAGCCAACTTTCTGAACAAATGGCCAAAACAAGCTCGGGTAAACAACCTGTTTTATCAGCTCAAAATAAGTTTACATCAGAGCTATTCAACAGAACTCTTATATATATATATATGGAGGAAATTACAACAGAAAATTACAAATTTCTCATCTGAACACTGCTTACATTTTTTTTTTTTGATTTAAAGAAAAGAAAAAAAGTTAATTCAGAATGGCCAAAGGAAGGAGAAAAGCAGAGTGTATCTGGTCCAGAGAGTATCGGGCCGTTGGACTGGGGGCGGGTTTGTCGATTTAGGGGCAGAGTGAAGGAGCGTAGGGAGGTTTGTAATTTTTTGGTCGGGCGTGAAAGATGGAGGAGAGGGAGAAACAGACAGGGAATCAAGAGCATCAGTCCATTGGTCGCTTCTCTCCATATTTCTTTGTATGCTCTTCTGCATTCTTCAGAAATTTTTTACGGTCCTTTGAGTATTCTTCTGCGAGGTCTGCCCGGAGAGGGTGTTCTGGCTGCGGGTCGTTCACCAGGGCGATTAGTGCCTGGATTACTGAAACAGAGCACACAGAAAAACACTATCAAGTTTGGAATGCCACATTATACTCAGGCGTTTTTGTATCATCAATAACAACAATAATGTAAACTTTCGATACCTTGGAATGGGCACTGATTCTAATACTACAATGACAATTAAAACACTTTCTTACAGTTGAATGTGATTTTCAACATTAAACCATAGTACTTTCTTTTATATATCTGTGTAATCCTTCAGTTATCCAGATAAAGTAAGTTCCATAGTGTCCATGGGTGTATACTATGTGCTCTTATACTTGTTCTGATACAGATCATTCTAAAGACATTCAGGAAATTTCATTTCTGTCCTATGAAATGGGATTTTTTTAAGTATTGATACCTGCTAAAATGAGCGTCTTTGTATAACGTCTGTAGTATCGATCAGTATCTGTACTTTTGACAACTCTACTCTACATCACATAGAGCAGGTGGCTGTACTGTATGTGACACCAAATTCTTTATGGCTGCACAAATTTTGCTGCAAACAAAAAGCTGAATTTTCAGAATGTAATGTATTATCGATGTTATATATATATATATATATATATATATATATATATATATATATATATATATATATATATATGTGTGTATGTATGTGTTGTATGTTATACAATCTACTGATTTTCACATCGCCCAACTGACAAGCATAGACTACCTAAATATACCTCCTGGCAGCTCTAAGTTATCACCCATGTTGATCCAATAGATTAACACTAACAAAAACAAAAGATTGCAGCCTTGTACAATAGAACTGAATAAACTTGATTGTCCCCTGAGGACGTTTGTCTTGGACTCATAACATTAAGGACAACAACCATTCAATAACAGCAAAGATTCAGTAAAATACAATCTTATAATAAAGATTTAAATGTATAAATTAGGGCCCGACCGATATATTGGTTGGCCGATAATATGGGCCAATATAAATATAAATATTTATAGAAAATATTTAAAAGGCAAATCTTGCCAATCTGGGCCGATAGTCTACGTGGGCATGTTATACCTCATTATAAAACTTAGACTCTCTATACTATGTCCTTTTCATCCAATTTACAGACAGACAAATGTGTGTAATATGTGCTGCTGCATCAGTATTTATCTGCGGAGTCATTTGTCTGTGTCTGCGATGCTGTACTGCCCTTGAACGCACCCCAGAGTCACGCCTCTCACGTGCGCTTGTTTACACACAATGTTGATGCTGTCAACATGCTGGATTATATTATATTTACGGCTGATCGTTTTGAGTCAGGATGATCTGAGAGGTACCTGTGTGAGTGGTGAGTGTTACAAATATGACGGATTTTTAAACTACTTTTGGTTCTTTCTCATTGGTTAGGGCCTAACTGCTCTAAACTACCCCACATAAACAGCCTGTTTTCTCTTACATTAGGGTTAGGGTTAGGCTACGTCCACACGACAACGCTCATGGATTTTTTTTTTTTGCAGGTAGAAAACAATTTGCGTCCCACACGTGTCAGATCAATTAATATTCACGTCCAGACGGAGCACTGAGTGAAAATGATGTAATACATATCCACACATATATGTGGTGCTGTAAACAGGACACAGCCAGAGCCACTGGACACACAATACTACAAAGTTCTACTTCTACACGGTAATGGGTTTAAAAGAATCTGACGCGTGTAATTGTGTATGCATCTCCGCTGGTTTGTACTACATAGAAGAAAAAGAGGTTTTGATGCAACAGTGCAAATAAACTTAGAAGCGTCTGCAGCACAAACTCAGCTCAGTTGTCTGTCATGGTTGTTGTTGTTATGGTTGTTACTGGTTGTTGCGTGAGGTTCTCTTCTGGTCACGTGGCGATGACAGGGTTGCGACGTCATTGTTTTCCAAAATCTGTGGTTTGCTTGTCCACACGACAACGTAACGCCGGCAGTCACAGATTTCTCCACTCTGGAACCCGTTTTCAAAAAACACCGGCTCCATGTGGCCAAAATGAATAAGAACTTCACTGTCTCGACCAATGTGGACACCACATTAGTGTAAAGTGACTCTAGTGGCTGTATCTGTTAGGGAATTTCTCCTGCAGTGCGGTTATCGCGACAGCCCTAGTACCTGTTAATGGACCTGCACTGATATGTAAAGGAGCTGCGAATAGAGGTGTAAATGATCCACATTTACGCATAATTAATTACCATGGTGCGCAGCATTTACGGCTAAAGACTAATAGTGGTAATTTTTACGTTGTTTAATGGCTAGAATGCTGTGCAAAAATGCCATTAGGCCTATCTACTGTCTTGAAATATGACGTAAAAAGGCAGAAAAACAGTAAATGTAGCCTAAACAAACCCAATTTAAAATCCACTAGAGCCAGACCCATCACTAAATATATCGGCTTTTATATTGGCACCTCCATCTCCCATTTTATCGGTATCATCGATATCAGTCAGGCCCTAGCATAAATGACCACAACTAATTGCAGGTGCTTGTCTTGGTGTATTGTCTGAGGCTGAACGTCATTTGGAGTTCAATCATTTGAGTGGTGTTAGAATAAGAGCTTGTTTTAGAAGGTTGGAGTTGGTCACATGTTGTACAGCTTGGTGGATGTTGGTGGCATATGCCAATACACGCATCACGAATCTCGGACTCCCGGTCATTGCACAATTCATACTGGGAAGGATTTTCCAAAAAAGTGAGCATCAAACCGACGTGTTTGTTTTCCCAGTGGGATGTGTCTATTGTCAAAGTCGATCTTTTCAAGTCTTTTGAACCATATCACTTTTGTTTCTGGTTCTGCTATTGTCATATTTTAGTTTTGAGATTTGGACATCGTAATTGTGTGATTGTTGGATCCTAACAGCAGAAAACGGCTTGAGAAATGGGCTTCAGAAGTTTGAGAAGTCCATAAATGCAAAAGAATATGATCTGTTTGACTGCAGACCTCTGTTCAAACTGTTTCCCTTTCCAACGGAATTGAAAAATACTGAAAGACGAAGGCAATGGGTAAGATTGTTACACAGGAAGGATGAAAAAGGAAACCTCTGGCTGCCTAAATCATCCCGAGTTTGCAGCGAACATTTTGTATGTTGAACGATGTTGATCCTTGAAAGAGTGTATTTGCATTTTTATTCCATTGAAAATATTAGTTGAAAATGGTCTCAAAATGTTAATATTATCGTTTATTGCAATAATTTCTTGGTCAATTAATCGTCCAGCAAAATCAGTTATCACGGGGTCACACCGACCCTCTGCCTTCTGTCTTATGTGGGTATGGTATTTTGCATTCTGTTCGGTTCACACTTGATTTATGGTTCCATTACGCAGTTTTTCTCTGCTTCATTAAGAAAGTTTTTTGGAGAGTTGCTAAAAGAAACATTTATCGCGAATAGCTAAACACTATGGCATTAAAGTATATACGTAAGAATGAACTCAAAGACATTATTCTGACTGCACTGTTCAGAGTCCCGCACCGGCGTCTGCGGGTACCTGGCAGGTATGGGCGGTGCTGTACTGCATGGGTGCGCTGGCGGGTGCGGCTCTCCAAAAATGGACCCGCGCAGGACTCTGGCACTGTTTGACAAAAGCGTCCTGGGAGAGGGAGAGCGCCAGTCGGGTTTACACGTCAATTCTATCTGTTTGTGTCGTATGATGGGCTAAGATTTGAATCGTGCAAAGAACTGATGATGTTACAAATGGAACAAGAGAAAATAAATAACAGGCTGAACTGAAACAAATAAGACTAAAGCAGAAAAAGAAATTCAAATTTAATGTGTCAGACAAGAGCCTGAAAAAAATGTATTGGAACTGGTACATTACAGATTGAAACTGATTTGAAAAGGCAAAGCCATAAGTGACACGGTACAGGGTGACGAGTTGTTTCCGTGTGAGTAGTGTACTCAGTGTGTTTGATGTGGGTGCTAGTTTGCATTTAATACCAAAATTTTATGAAAAGGACAGGAACTAGATACATTTTTCTTTCTGTCTGAGCATTGCAGGGGCTAAAAAATGGCCGTCTGTGCTCACTGGTCGGGCCCAAGAGGCTTATTCTGTGTTAAGTGTCACAGAATGTCTTTGAAAATAAGGGCTGCTGTTTTGAAATCATATGAGTTTGTCCATGAGCCCTACTGCCAGAAAATCGAACGCCAAACTCATGCCGAGTTCGCTCGAAATTGAATGTGCCTTAAATATTAACATATTTGAGGACAGTCTGATGGTAATTGAGCAATTTAGAAATTGTATTCCACAACCTGTTACAACATATGTGACCGAGCAGAAACCTGACACAATGCTCAAAGCAGCTGACCTCGCCAATGATTTATATTTTGAGCCATGTTGTTACTAGGGCTGTCGCGATAAAAGAATTTCCCTTGCAGTAACTGTGCAGTGTATGTAGTATAGCACATAATACATGTAAATTGGGGGGTTTTCTTGAAAATTATCATTATAAAACAACCGGCCATGAGTGACAGACACTTGTGTTCACTACATGTAGTTTTAGAGACACGTTACAAGGATATATGATGCCAAACTTCAGGTGGTTTTATACAGTATATATGGTTTTCGTGCTGCAGAATGAGTGGATTTGCATTCAAGTCTATTGCTCCTCCAGTCTGTACACCCACAGTAGACCCCATCTGCTCCAGACTCCAGCCTCTGACTGAAGGGAAACTCTAGTGTTTAGCTTTAGCCCTATCACCAACATGTCTTTTTTTAAAAAGACACCACTGACCTCCGATACATATTTCCAATATATCAGAGCCACATAAACATGAACTGGTTCGTAGTTTAATAGGAAAATGATGCCGTCGCGAACGTGGAGCCTCATTAAAATGCAAAATGCAGTTACCGTGGTCACTTGAGCCCTTGTGCAGTGTGACTGATCATACGCGGTGCGGCAATATGTCATTATCACAACAGACGTCTAACATAGATCAGAGGGATCATGGTCAGAAAGAAATCTGATTATTTCACTTTATACATGTTGTTTTATTCATCTTAAAACTCAAAAAATCGGATAATCAGACTTTACGTGAACCACACAGAGTCAGTGAAAAGCTGCTAACCTAGCTTTTTGTTTGGACCAATCAATACACCATCCTCATATCATTCAGAACAAAATATACAACTTGCACGGGCTGTAATAGTATACTGCATACTAGATGCAGTACTGATTATTTGGAGTCCAGAGTAGCTGATGGCTGGTATTTTGGGGGAGATACGGCTGATTTGTATAATTTAAGTACGTCATTTAACTGTTCTATAAACTGACCCACAGCCCTTTTTTACCATAAACCTGACAGCAGTGTATCACATAGAGTGCAATTAATTTCTTCATATAAATGTGTTAAAATAAAGCTTAATGTCTATTTCCTGACAGCAAATCGAACAAAACAAAATATCGGCATGTGCTGGAGATTTAAGGCCAAAAGCCAATACACTAAAAAGTCTAACTATCGGCTCTAATATATCTAATATACATCTCTACGGCATATGTTGAAAGTCCAAATGGTAAGACATTTGGTGTTAAAGCCTTAAACCTGCAGAAACAGTACCTTGGTCAGTTCTGGTGGCCGGTTTCCAGTTCTCTGCGCTGATGACAGGCAGGCACACCTGGCCCTTCTCATCGATGTTAGGGTGGTAGATGCGGGTTTTGAATGTGATCTTGGGGGGTTTGAATGGGTACTCGGTGGGGAAGATGATTTCAATCCGGAAAGCACCTTTGTCATAGGGAGGGTTGTCCTGCAAAAGAATCATTATTTGAACACCTTAACCTAAAATCTGATGTTGTTCTGAAGAGTTCTAAGAGAAAACGATATCGTGAGATTTGATCCTCCGTCTTCGCATTAGGCATAGGCATGAAAGGGTTACACTGTGTGCAACCTTTTCATTTCTTCTCCTTTCAAAATACAGATAAGAGTCTCTATATCAATAAGGGCGTTAATATGACTAATATAAACCATAATTATAGACAGGAAAGCACTCTGTAATGTGGATAAAGTCACATATGTTTTCTTAAAAAAGTTTCATTTAATTTGTCATTTTAGATTTAAAAAAACTTACAGGAACGATGAGTCCTTGCCATGACAATAGGTTTGATTCTTCCACTTGGATGTTTCTGAAGTTTTTTAGTCCAGCTTTGCGAATCTCATCGAGTTCCTGCGCACAAAAAAGAAAAGAGATGAAGACAGAACTAAACTGTGTTTTTTGTTTTTACGGTAGTGTATGAAAAAATTCAAACTCAGTTTCAATACTGAGGGATAGACCCCATACTCAACTGATTCTGATATTCTGATAATACTTCCTTTTATACAATGATGTGGTCTAATATCTGTGTAATCCCTCAGTGCTCCTTGTAGTTGCTATAGTGGTCCATGAGCGTAAACTAGTCCATGTGGTTTTATACTTGCTCTGATGCAGCTAAAGATCATTCTAAAGCTATTCAGGAAAGGTTCATTTCTGACTTATAGCAAGTATCTATACCTGCTGAAATAAGTATCCAGTTTAATACTAGGTATTGATTAGTCTCTGTTTATTGATACTTTTGACAACCATAATACAATGTAATGTTGTTTAGAAGAGATCTGACCACTGTTCTGTAATAAGACTTTAGCTTTTACTTTTATGACCTCACACTGTAAATAAACAGTGTTACCAAACATATTACTCGCATATCCCCTGAGGCTTTTGATCAGCTGTGAAGCCCCTACAACCTTACAAAAGGTAGATGCAGCAGGACATTGTTTTTTTTATTTTTTTATTTCCATTTCAAATGATGTATTTATGAAAGCCTGTTAAGAGAAAGGACACATGTTCATACAATACATTTGACATATTCACTGTTTGAATGGTTACAGCTGATTATATTAACTTTGCACAGGGTTTAACAAATAACAAGGTTAAACAAATAAATAGTGTTGCTAAAATGTATTTGGTTCTGAAGAATAGTGATATATTGCAGAATATCATGAGCAATATATTGATTCTCACATATCATCATATCGTGAGCCAGGTACAGTTTTGAATCGGATCGTGAGGGACCTTGTGATTTCCAGCTCTATTATTACTAGGGGTGTGCAAAAATATTGAAATATCGATATATCGTATCGTTTAATATAATGATATAGTATCGATATCGTGAGCTGCTGTATCGCTATATCACGTATCGAGTATTTTGGGTGTATTTTACTAAATTATTTTGTTACAGCGCTACAGTTTTGTTGTTTGTTTAGTGGAAGGAAAGTCATTCACACAGCAAAAGGTTAAAATGAAAATTAAGAACATTTGACTTTATCTGAGTCGACTCTACCAATGGAATAATTGTTTTTTCTAAATTCAAGCGACATTCAATTTCATTTCTTATTTTAAGGGTTGTTGTTTTTCTTTTTTTAAGTGTAGAAAGTTGTATTTTCATATTTTAAGAAAAAAAAATCGTCAAATGGAATTTACTCAAATCATGATAAAACTTTCTTAATTCAAGTCATCTTAACTTGGCTAGATTTAAATTTTTTGCAGTGCATGTGACACATTTGACATTTTCACAGTTTTGATAATTAAAATGTTTTTGTTTCATATTCACTTTGCACAAGACGTGGTTTAACAAAGATTTTTAGTATCACAGACATGATTTAGCCTTTATTTTTATTGAACGGTATCGAATCAATTTGAAATATATCGTATCGAATTGTAAGTTCACTGTATCAAAATATGTATCGTATCGTGGCCTATGTATCGAGGTATGTATCGTATCGGCAACTTCTTAATGATACCCAGCCCTAATTATTACATACATAACATTTCTCATGAAAAACACTGGTTTGAGACAGGGCTCAATGATGAAGTTGAGGGTTCGGGTTAACTAGTCTCTCACTCACTCCAAACTACTCATAAAACAAACCGTGGAACGCACATGTTAAACTGGAGTCGAACCTTGGTTTAAATAGAAATCTGTCAGTAATGAAAGCCTACAGTACACTGAAAACAGTCCGAAAAGAAATCATTTCCCACGTTCTATTCGGTTTACATTCTCATCTCAATAACATGTTTTGTTTTTCCACAAATGGGATTCACTAGTGGATCAACCACTACAATGAAGAGCATGGTCCATAAAACAGTAGAGATGTTCAAAAACCAGACACTCACATGCAGGACAGGGAAAGCACTAGTGTTGATTTTGACTACATTTACATACACTAGACAAAAGAATGTGATTTCCATGATTTCAAACATAAATCTTAGTGCTTTCTTTTCTATTCCCATGTGTCTTATATGTGTGTAATCCTCAGTGGTCCAGTAGGTTCCACAGTTGTCCATGGGTGTATACTAGTCTATGTGCTCTTGTACAGCTCAAGATCATTCTAAAGCTATTGAGGAAAGGTTCATTTCTGTTCTGTGAATGGGACTTTAGTATCAATACCTATCTAGTTTCAATTCTAGTTTTAGTATCATTTAATATCTGATTTTAACCAGTGTATCTCTCCTGCTTTTAAAACACATAGGAGGGACTGGCTCACCTGCTCCCTTCAATCAAAAACAATAGTGAAAAGAATAAAGTAAACAATGAGAGCAGTGGAACAACTGTGTCACCTGAAAACGACCAGAAGGCTCAATACACTGAACATAGGTGTTGTCACGATACCAAAATGTCAACCTAGAAAAACTAGTTTCACTACTACTTTTAATGTAAATATCTGATTTTCAATACTACTGACAAGCTTACTGTACAGCCAATCCTCTGTCAATAAAAGCTTGTGCTTTGGAGCAGAGTTCAGATTTTTTTTTTTGCGTTAAATAGCACTGATGTGACTAGCAGTTAGCTTGAAATACCTTAACGATTACAGCTATTTACAGCTATTAATCGCAATCATATTGAAATCACAATTTAAATTAAAGCAATTAGCAAAACAAGAGAAAATGTGCAAGTTTATATTTCCTCCACAAATAACAGAATCTCCTGTCTTATGCATGAAATGGTTAACCCTGTACTTTAGATCTGTACAAACATGTTCTCAAATGTGATTCTTGAATTAGTTTGTCAGTCAAATGTTTAAAATGTGAACTTCAAACAGAAATCTGAATCTCAAAAATCTGAAAAAATTGACTTTTGATTTTTGTTTCCCTAAATTGTTCAGCTGTAGATAGTTGGCATGTCAATCAAATGAAAGAATCGAAACTAAAACTGACATCAAAACTAGATACTCGTTTGAGCAGGGAGATACAAAAAAGTTCCATTCACAGGACACAATTTAACCTTTCCTGAAGAGCTTGACAATGATCTTGAACTGTATGAGAACAAGTAGAAGATCACATAGACACTATGGAGCCTATCTGGACCACTGAGGATTACACATACAGAAGGCCACATGGGAATATACTGTAAAGTGGTAAAGAAAGTACAACCATTTAATGATGACATTTTTTTTTTTTATTGTATAAAGCATAAGTGTTCATAATTATGGTTGTGGTATCGGAGTCAGTAAGTATCAGGTCTATTACTTGATACTAAAATTGATCTTGAAATGTTAGTTTTGGGACAACACTACTAGATGGTGATAAACAAAACCATGTTGCTATGCAGGCTTGATGACCTGAGTTGAAATTTAGTTTCCTGTTGTTCTGCATTCTCAGCTCACACAAAGAAAACTTAAATGATTTCCTTCGGTTTCTATTTGACAGATCAACTTTAACAAGGCAGTAAAAGAGATAAGCTAACCAGGAACTAACTATACATTATTGGGTTTGGCCAATCACATGATCCCACAATATATTTAGGGTAAAAAGTCAATTACTACAATATATTACAAACAAACCCAAAACTTGGAATCACATGACAGAGAATGAAGTGGAATTTGGTAACTTTGCTAACTTGCTACGTTTGTGTCCCAGTTTTCACATAGAAATCCAGTCATCGTGTCCAAAAAGTGAAACCGATTTATAGTCTGCGTTATTTTAAACCAACAGGGGACACTTTTACACAACGTCGGACCACTAATGTCTTGTCTTTTAACGGGAAGGACTGCGTTTAATCTGGAATCTTCCACATAACCGGGGATGACGCTAGTGGTTAGCTGAAACGCACTTAAGAATTACCGTCAGACTAGCTCGCTGCTGATTAGCTCCTATCGCCATCAACTGCTAAAATCTAACACACAAACATGAACCACGCCAGAATTAATCAAATGCCGCAAAAGAGTTCCGTTTAAACCGATTTAGATGAAGTATAACGCGGGTGTTAGTTTCGATTTCGTGGCCTAATTTACCGGTTCGTTGCTGCCAGTTTCTTAGCCAGTACTGACCTCTCAATCGTACAGTCTGTGTGGAAAACCGAGGCATAAATGATTGTTAATGTCGGGAAAATGTGTTACTAGGTTAAATATACTGAATTAGCTCGGTCTAGCGGTCCCGATGAGCGAAAACTCGGTTAAGTCTGTGTAAATAAGCGCGATCCGGAGCTTTACCTTGATCAGCCTCCTGCTCGCCGCCATCTTGAAACTATTGTGTACTCCCAGAATGCCCAGCGCGGTCAATATGGTCTGCTCAGGGTCTGATCAGAGCCTGGGTCTAGGTTTCGGTCTGGGTCTGGGTCTGGGTCTGCTGCTGCTGCTGCTGCTGCTGCTGCTGGAGGAGATCCAGGGACTATAAGGAAATAAAATCATAAAAAGATGATACATGGACGAAATCTAATGGAGATAAACAAAACTGCAGTGGAAAAGACATGACAGTATTCAGTGTTGGGGAGTAACAGATGACATGTACTGGAGTTACGTAATCAGAGTACAAATTATTAAGTAAGAGTAAGAGTAACTGTATTCAGTTACAGTTACTGTTTCAGTGAGTGGTAATTGGATTACAGTTACTTTGTCGAAATAAATGGATTATATGGTGGTATTTTCCTGTTTTCACATTTTGGGCTATTCCTTTTTTTTTGTTTTGTTTTGTTTTGTTTGGTAATTCCACTCATTGCTGGACACTAAACCAGGTCTAAACCAGATCTAAACCCAGGTCCAAACCAGTTCTAAACCTGGTCTAAACCAGGTCTAAACTAGGTCTAAACCAGGACTAAACCAGGACTAAAGCAGGACTAAAGTAGGATTAAAATCAGGTCTAAACCAGAACTAAACCAGGACTATATCTAGGTCTAAACCAGGACTAAAACCAGGTCTAAAACCAGGTCTAAACTAGGTCTAAACCAGGATTAAACCAGGACTAAACCAGGATTTAACTAAATCATGCCGCGTGGACCATGTCTCCTCCTCTTCTATCAATAATATTTTTAATTTGGTTAAGTAAAGTCTGGGCTTTTTATTTTCTTTTAGCAGACATAACATTTTATGTGAAGATTTCCCAGTCTTTGCTTCTCTATAGCAAATCAAATATCCAAAGTATTCAGATTACGTTACTCACTTTAAATAATTTAATGGATTACGTTACAAACTACATTTTGGGGTATGTAATCTGTAATTTGTAAGGGAATACATTTGAAAAGTAACCTTCCCAACACTGACAGTATTTAGAGGTTCTCTGGTGACTGTGGGGAGAACGCAGTCTAACTAACTAATATGAAAAAAATTAAGGTCTTATATTACATACAGTTGCTCTTATGAGCTTTCATGTTAGAATGCCATAACCTAATCAAAAACGTACCCGAAGTTGTGTTTTGTTTCATTCACACACTTTACAGCTTGCTTTTACCTTCAATAGAAACTGGAAATTTCAGGGCTGAAAATATCCAAATGGTTCTACCGTGGAGTGGAGTTTAAAAACGTTTTTTTTTTTTTAAGTCCACTCCACAGTTTCTTAAAAACACAGTGGAACACTTATGACATCACAAGGTGTGGAACAGTGTGAGTTTTCTATTTGAGAAAAGAACTGCAGAGTAAATATCCAGGACTGTCCAGGTCTGTGATGAGGAAACTACATCAGAAAATAGAGTAACATGGGTCCTTTAAGCAGACGTTTACATCTTTAGTGCTCTGGTAGGCTATAGGCTGTGTAGTCCTCAAACTGCTGTCTACCTGGCTGAGGCTACATTGACTTATTGGCATAGATCCATGTGGACTGGGCATAGAACTATAATAACATTTTTATCTTAAAATTATTTTTAATATAGATCCATGGGGATTACCAGTCTGTGGAGGTTAGCACCCTGTATTTGGCTGTGGTCTGCTGGGGGAGCAGCAGTAAAAGGTACATTGGGCGGATTGACAAACTGATCTGTAAAGCTGGTCACGTTATTGGCTGTGAGCTGGAGACATTTGTCACTGTGACAGAAGGACACTGGACAAACTTCTTTCCATTTCTAGGGACAGAGGAGCTCGTTCTCCAACAGGCTCCTACAACTCTGCTCAAATAGTGAGAGACAGAGGACTACATTTATACAACAACTGTACAACAACCCACCCTAAAGAAACAGATAATACTCCCTACAACTGAACAACAACTCACCCTAATGAAACAGATAATACTCCCTACAACTGAACAACAACTCACCCTAATGAAACAGGTAATACTCCCTACAACTGTACAACAACTCAGCCTTATGTAACAGATAATACTCCTTACAAGTGTACAACAACTCACCTTTATGTAACAAATAATACTCCCTACAAGTGTACAACAACTCACCTTTATGTAACAGATAATACTCCCTACAACTGTACAACAACTCACCCTAATGAAACAGGTAATACTCCCTACAACTGTACAACAACTCACCCTTATGTAACAGATAATACTCCCTACAACTGTACAACAACTCACCCTTATGTAACAGATAATACTCCTTACAAGTGTACAACAACTCACCTTTATGTAACAAATAATACTCCCTACAAGTGTACAACAACTCTTCTTTATGTAACAGATAATACTCCCTACATCTGTACAACAACTCACCTTTATGTAACAGATAATACTCCCTACAACTGTACAACAACTCACCCTTATGTAACGATAACCCTATGTCCTGTCAATCATCATATCATTGTTGCATTGTCTTCCTATGACCTCATGTATAAAGCTGTGATTTTTATATTTTATCACTCACATCTTTCTATTTTACTTGTACATTTACATTTATACAATTGTCTTACTTGACACCTGTTTCTTGATATCTCTTTTTGCTACTTATTTAGAATTGATTTTACCATTTACATTTTTGCTCTTTGTTATTATATTATTGTGATGTGCGAGTTCCTGTGTCCAAATATCTCTTGTGGATAAATAAAGTTTGTCTAAGTCCAAGGCATAGAACTATGATAAAAATATTATAATTTGTTATTATTTTTATTATAGATTCATGGGGACTGGGAATAGAACTATAATACAAATATTATTTTAAAAGTATTATTTTTTTAAAATTATTTTTATTATAGATTTATGGGGACTGGGGCGGAGCAGGTGGCGCGTGCGTCTCTACAAAGCAGCTCTGGTCACGCGGGCTGTCACTACCCGGAACAACAAGATGGCGGCTCCGGAGCAGCTGCGGGTGAGTCCGAACCAAAACACTACACGTTTCACCCTGGATCTTGTGCGATTTCACCCCTGTGTGCAAGCACGCACCGGTTTTCATGGTTGCGCCTGTGTCGTTATATTTTAAGACTGCAAAATGTCCTAAATATGCGCGTTTACGTGTTGTATTTGTCCCCAAGCTAACTGAGCTAAGTGTGTTTTGTGTCATAGGACAACAACAGTCACAGACCCTAACGCGGTCATTGCGCCGAGTAAACCTAAAACCAAACGTAAAGGCACACTTAATACACTTTACTGTTTAACACGAGCTGGATCACGCTGCTCCTTTCACATCTGGAATGTTGCAAAGTTCTTATAGTTTAGAGCCAATCTATTGCCTCCTAATTTAGGATGACCAGTATTTACCCGGGACAGTCCCGGTTTAGAGCTGTGTCCCCTCTTCCAGTAGGGACAAACCCAAACCAGTGATTTGTCCCAGTTTTATACACGAAATGTCCCCGGTGTCCCCATTTTTAACCAGTTTTATACCTGCCAACAATAAGAGAAGCATGCATTGTTATTTGCTGAGGTAAAATACAGAAAAACTGCTTTAAAAATTACAAAAACACAAAGAAAATGTGACTATACTGACCCGCATGTTAGTCATGAATGGGCCAAGTGCATAGCAATTTTCCTTAATTAACCTCTTGCTTCACAATTTTATTATTACCAACCACCCCAAACTGGGGGTGTCCCAGTTTTTGATTTTGAAATTCCGGTCACCCTATCCTAGTTCCTCTGGGATTAGCATTTCACTATGTACAATTTAATGGCATGCATGTATTTCAGATGCTAAATCATTCCAAGTCCTCCACAGATACTGTTTATAAATACCTAGAATGTAGTTGGAAATAGGTTTTACCCGCGGACCTGAGTGCAGTATGGGGAGTCTGTGCATGCTAGAGTAAATACTTCCTCTGGCTCGTTTTTAAAAAATGGACCTGAATGATCACTCATTTGGTGGAATGTAAGGCTTGATTTGATCAGAGGATATAGATGCGTACTTGCGTCTGATATCGTATATAGACATGGAACTAAACGTTTTGCAATCTGGACACTGTGGCAAGCTATATTTAGTCAGCCACAAATAGTCTTGTCCCTCATGCAGTTTCATCCTGTGTTCAGTGTTGTGACGGACAGCTGTAAAAATGTGTTACTCCAGCTATTCTAAATATTCACAATGACTATGCATTTCAGAGCCTAAAGGGTCAAAGGAATCACAAATCACAAGTTTGTTGTTGTCGTTGGAGAATGATGATGAGCTGAATCAGAACAAGTACAAGAGCACATAGACGAGTATACACCCATGGACTACTATAGAAACAACCTAGACCACTGAGAGATTACACAGATATAAGGCACGGTAATATAAAAGACATAAAAGAAAATACTACCATTTACCATTGAAACATCCTGTTGTCTAAAGATTTATTTTTTTTATCATCATGGTATCAGAATCAATATTGAGTATCAAATGGTGAAGTTCCTGTGCTTCCAGCCCTGTTTGACCCAGAGTAAATCTCGGGTTCTAACCTCAGCAGGCTAATGAGTGTGAGTGTGATGGCTGGGTGTGTTCTGGTCTGGCCTGTATAGTAAGTGTAGTCGTGCAGGCTAACCTCTGCTCTGCTCCTCATCTCTGTGTGTGTGTGTGTTCACTACAGTCTCTGGTGTAAGCTCCTCTCTCACAGTACTGAAGACAGACAGAATGAACCTCCATCAGACCCCTGCACCCCTGCTCCCTCCGGTGCACCCTGACGTCCAGATGAAGCCTTTGCCCTTCTACGACGTGCTGGACGTGCTCATCAAGCCCTCCAGCCTCGGTAACTTTACAGCTCCTTAAGTCTTGGCTAAAGTAGTTTAAACTTATATGTCCTGCACCTCACCTTCAGTTATGATTGAGTTTTTCTGTCGTTATGGTCTATTCTTTGGAAATGGCATAATATTTTTGATGATCAGATTGAAGTAAGATTTCATGTATATTATACACACTGTAAAACAGTTATCAGATGCTACATCCCAACAGATCCTAAATGGAGCCTAAATAATAAACTTATTTGCCTGGGAAATACAGAATGATGTCTATGTATTTTTTGTACGTAGGGAGCTCAGACTAGTCCCCATGTCATTTTTCAGTGATGCATGAGAAACCAAGGAGCTCATTGGTCACTCATCATTTACATACAGACCTGCCCTCTGAATAGAGGGCAACACACGAATCTGGGGTGGAACCATCGGAACGTTCAAACAAATACTTACAATGATTGGTCGAAGCATCACAAACTTTAGTTAAATCCAGTTGAGAGAAAAGAACAGGTGTCCTACCCATTCACAAATGCACAAAGCGCTTCACTCTGCACAATTTTCACAAACATAAAGCATGAGAATTTGTCCTGCTGGCAGAGCTAGCTTCATTGATTCTGCATGTTTTTCAGTCCCCTGTGATATTTTTTTCCTTTATTTTTTCCTTGTATGCAGCCATATTTGTTTTGATACAGATGCACTGTGCCTGTGCCTGTCCCTGATTGACTAATCCACCTCTCAATCATGCCCATCTGAACTTGGGGAAATGCAACAGTGACCAGACACATATGTCCATAAAGTATAGAAGATGTGTGTGTTCTGGTTTTTTGGTAATCAACTTTTAACTCTTATTTGAATAGACTCATAGAAGCTTGGCTGCCATATTCTTCAGTGTTGGCTTCTTATAACCGTTAATTTCTTTGTGGAGTGAAACATTTACTGGGGATTTTTAAATAGATCCATGGATAAAAATGTATTTTATTACAAAGAACGATGTGATGTAATTGTTCCAATTCCAATTACAATTTTCTTGGTGTGTATAGAACAGTAGTGTTTGGGTGTCTTTTAGCTGACGTGTTGTGTGTGCAGGAGCCAGCACCGCTCAGAGGTTCCACCAGGAGAGGTACTTCATCTTTGCCCTGACGCCTCAGCAGGTGCGGGAGGTCTGCATCTCCAGGTGACCAACATGTTCAGCATCATTCACATTATACACAAGTCCTCATATCCAACATCCGCTTTTTTAACCCTGTGTGTATGTTTGTGTGTGTGTTCGCGCAGGGACTTCCTACCTGGAGGCAGGAGGGATTACATGGTCCAGATACAGCTGAGGTGTGGCAGGGAAAAGAGGAAGTCACATGTTTTGTATTCAGCTCATTGCAATTAATACTCACATTAGAACAATTCCAAATACTAAAATCACAAAGGCTGCTTAGCTGTAATCCCCAGGGCAGATGTTACATTAATTCAGAAGTCTCCATCATTGACAGATTATATTCAGCTGTGACCAACATTTTGGAAGCAGTTTAAAATATCAAACAATTCAACAAACTTCAAACAATGAACCGCTAAGTATGATGATTTTTTGGCCTGTTATTCAGCTGTTGCTTGGAGCTGAAAATGTACAGTGATAGGAAGAATACTGACCCTGACCATCACAAAGACAGTTTGCAAAATCTTTGTTCCTTGGAGTCTTACACTGTGTAAAAGCTGCAAGTCTTGTGGTTCAGACCTCTAAAAGCAATCCATTGGAATCTTCTCTCACGCTTAGCACTCCCGGATGTTCAAATGTGCTCTCTAAAGTGGATCTTGATATGGAAATGGATTGCCGAGTTATTCGAGTAATAGTTTTCTGTCCTTGTTTCAGGTTTTGTTTGTCTGAGACCAGCTGCCCACAGGAGGACAACTATCCCAACAGTCTGTGCATCAAGGTGAACGGGAAGCTCTTCCCTTTGCCGGTCAGTGCTCATTGCTCACAACAGCAATCAAGTGAAAACTGTAATTTAATTTCAATTAACAAATTACAAAAAATGTACAATGTCTCTCATGTTGCCTATGAACAGGATCAGTAGTGGTTGAATTCAGTGTATCTGAACTGCTTTTGTGCATTAAGATGATTTTTATATTGTAGTCTAAACACCATGTCTAACTGTGTGTGTGCAGGGCCACGCTCCTCCTCCTAAGAACGGCGTGGAACAGAAGAGACCGGGTCGGCCCCTCAACATCACGTCTCTGGTGAGGCTCTCTTCTGCGGTGCCCAACCAGATCTCCGTCACATGGGCCCCCGAAATTGGAAAGGTCAGCCACTGTCCACCCCCGTCCACCTCTACCCAGGACAAACTTCTGCACAGTTATTATGTCCTCTGTCGATTGGTGTGGAGCCCTCCTCCTGGACTCATGTGCTTGATGTGTTTGTGTGATGTATGTTGCAGACTTATTCCATGTCGGTGTACTTGGTCAGACAGCTCACGTCCCCTCTCCTGCTGCAGAGGCTCAGGATGAAGGGCATCAGGAACCCAGACCACTCCAGAGCACTCAGTGAGTCAGCCTTCCAGTCTTTACATTTAGTAACTGGCAGTTCAAAGAGATCTAAGACACTCACTAAGCTAACCCAACCACAATGGGGATTGTACATGATGCATACATGATGTGGTATCCTGTCAGATATGGTGTATGTCCCTGTGTGTTACAGTAAAAGAAAAGCTGACTGCAGACCCAGACAGTGAGGTCGCTACTACCAGTCTGCGAGTGTCCCTCATGTGTCCGGTAAGTCCATTTAAACCCATTTGAAGCTTGGGTCCTGGGTAGGGATGGGTATCATTAAGGATTTATAAATACTACTACTACTCTTTTTGATACTGATTTTTGATAGGGTTACTTTTACTCATTTAGGCATAATTTATTTTCATCTCTCAAATTACTGTTTATTACTAACAGGTTTAAACATATTTTTACATATTTAATATATAGTTTGCAATGTAGGACATTGCGGCAGTAAGATTTATTGCATAAAGTCTTAATAACCAGTGATGTGTTGGTGTTTTCTTTGGTGTTTATTCCTTGTGTGATCAAGGAGGTGCTACAATCAGTTTTAAGCAAATTTTGATGAAATATTATTGTGTCAGATTCATGGAGCACGTGCACACCTGCCTATACAAACTGAAACGGCTGACTGATTGATTGATTGATTGAATGAATAAATTAAGGGAATGGAACGGAACAGGGACAGCTCACAATCTATATTAACCTTAACAGGACAGATGCATTGTACCAGGTTGTAGCACTGGTGCTACAAAGATAAAAGCTACAATGCTGTAGCTTTTGTCTTGTACAGAGTGAGAAAAACAGTGTTTAAACTCAGTAGTTTTGCATTTAGCCACTTAACAGATTCAAGCTTTTATGACCCAGTTTAGCATGTCCTGTTCATGTTCATAGTTCTCAGTATTTATTATAATGATATCTTGTGTTTGTTGGGGCAGCTGGGTAAGATGCGTCTGACGGTACCGTGCCGAGCCGTGACCTGCTCTCACCTGCAGTGCTTTGACGCAGCGCTGTACCTCCAGATGAACGAGAAGAAGCCCTCATGGATCTGCCCTGTATGTGACAAGAAGGCTACCTACGAGAGCCTCATCATCGACGGGTACCGGGCCTCACTGCTCTGTCAGAAGTACAAAGAGTGATAAGGATCATTCCACGCCATTTCAACAAATTTCCAGAAAATGTCACGCATCATGTTTTTTAAAAATTTGAAAAAATTACCAGCTGGTCCCTTACTATCATGTACCAAATTTGAGCCCAAGCAGGTGAACGCCCTGAGTGGAGTGCGTTAAAGCTTAGCAGAACTTTAATCCAATATTGCTGACCTCTGGTGCAGCACATGGCGTTGGTGTAATACTATTTTTTCCTTGTCTTATCATGATCTACTTCTGTGTCAAATTTCCTGATTTTACGTGCACATTTTTTTGGTGTCATTCCTATTCCCTAATGCATTTCAGTGTTTCCTGCAGAACTTTATAGTTATAGTTGACTACGTTTCTCCGAACCACATGAATCTTCATAAAACTACGATCGTTGCATGGAATCTCCTCCCACCCCTCCGCTCCTCACTTCACTTCAAAACAGCACTGCCTTGCCTAACCAATTTTGTTTGGGGGCACTGATGGGCCATTTTATTTATTTTTGGAAATAGCCAAACGTTAGAGAAGCACAAGTTTTAAGTTGGCGAAAATTTGGCAAAATTTCAGGACTTTGTTTTCAGGACATTGTTCACTGAGTGAAAAATGGGTGAGTTGGTTAGGAGAAAAATAATAAAAATGAAGAAGAAAGAATACTATTCTGATACAAGAACAATGTTCCACAAACTATACATATTTGGAAAGTTCTGGCACATTGCTACGTCATGGTGAGAGTCCCTGGTCACTACTGGGGCATCATGTCACGTCATTTCACTTCCCTCCGACTAGCAGCATCTCTTTATGATACTAATAAGCCTTGCGCCAGCCTCTGGCACTCGGGCCTAATTAGAACAAAGACAAACCTGACTTATTCAGGGAAAAAAAGAGTTCTGTCTCTCAGTGTTATCATGATTTGAAAACTGCACCAGTTTTATTGTGCAGGTGCAATTCATTTTAACAAACTGAACTGAAATCAAAACAACATTCATCATTGTGTATTTTAAGATCTTTTTTTGCAATATTCTATTTCGGCTTTGTGAGGAAATAGAAGTTGTGTAATGTGTATGTATGTAATTGTGCTGCCCACCACCCAGTGCAGAGCTTGTGTCTGTCCTGTTTCAGCCTGTTCTTGGAGATCCTGAATGACTGCACAGACGTGGACGAGATCAAGTTCCAGGAGGATGGCACGTGGTGTCCCATGAGACCCAAGAAAGAGGCCCTCAAGCTGCAGGCGCTGCCCAAAGTGGAGGGTGAGTGTGTGGGCATTTCTTACACTGTGGGGAATCAAAGCTGTAAACGCACATGGGAACCTGCCACCCATATAGTCTAAAGATCGAACATATGGGTTTTTCCATGGCCCATGCTGACACTGAGTGTTTAGAATCCTGAGCAACTGATGGTCGATAAGATCTTCCGACATTTTTGGGCCGATATGTAGGGCCGATTTTAAATATATACGTGCTTCTAATTTGTGGACAACGTGGAATATGCACTGTTTTCCTACATTTAAACATGTTTCCACAAAGAGATATTTAGGCCTCTTCATTCATAGTTTAGTTTAAAGTGAGAAAGGAGAGAGAAGCGCTCCTCCTCCTCTGTGTCCCTCTGCAGCATGTGCATATGGAGCAGCAGCAGTGGTGTGAGAGAGGGAGGGAGGAGCTCGAGCAACAGATAGAACAGGAAAGCAGGTCCAGTTTTGATCTAATCATTTAAATAATCAAACTGAAGCGTAACAGACACATTGTATATTGAGTATATTGTAATAAACTGTAGTGATGCATGTGGGGGTTTACACAAGTGTTTAAATAAACCTGTGTGTTTAACTTACAATGTATTTATGTTGTTAAAAGCAGATGATGAAAATTGTCTAATTTTTTTATAACTAGATCAGATTATTGTAAATTATTTCAAAATCTTGTCTCATTCTTGTGGCCCTTATCTCCTGTCTTGTCTTATGAAAATTTTGTCTCGTTCCCCATGACAGACCAACCAAAAGTTTGGACAGACTTTCGCATATTTGTTTCTTCTTTATTTCCATGATTATTTACACTGTAGATTCTACAGAGAGGCAAATATATCAGGCCTATATTTGCACTTTTTGGCATATTGGCTATCGGTCTTAAATCTTAGATGCAAGTCAAAACTGTTATTTGTGAAATATTATGTAGTACTTCAGATACATAATGTTTAATGGCTAAAAGGTTGGCAGTACACAGGAACACAGGAAATAGACGCACTATGGCTAATCTGCAGCTTCACCCTGATTGGACCCGATGCTTCATATATTTGATGTCATCTGTGTGTATATAAAATGTAGAAAGTGGTAAAGTTAAAGAAAAAAAAAAAAAAAACACTGAAAAAGGTGTGTCCTAACTCTTGACTGGTAGTGTAAATCTAAATATAAATACATCATATTAGATCAAAAACATAAGATTTGGGTTAAGCGTAAGGTTAAGGGCCACTAAACACCAATATCACTTATTTTCTACTGATTAGCTGTGTAAATGTTTAAAATAGAAATGTATACCTATCCCAGGCCTTATTTTGGCATTTTAATGCATATATGTTAAAAACCTGTTGGATTGTTGAAGTTCAGCATCCCATTTTTCCCTCTTATTACAAAGTTTTAACCCAAAATAATTGTAATTATAATAATTATGTTTATAATGATATATTATAAAGGTTCCACAACCTTAAAACTAGATACAGTGCAATGGCGAGTAACTGAACGTGGCGTCAGTGTCAGAACTTTAACCAACAATCCTGGTGTATCCATCATACTATGAGGGACACAGAGAAGTCTGTATTGTTGGAGCTGTTAGTTTCAAGTTGGTTTCTCTCTCAACTTGTGTCAGCTGAAAAACATAGCATGCTGGGTATTAAAACAGGAAGGGACAAACCCCAGTGTTCAGTGTGCATGGCCAACGCCTTATTGTAGCTAGTTATCTATTTATACGGCGGGAGTCAGGTCTACTCCTCAGGAGTTTTTTTGCTAACTTTTTGCACTATTATTTTCTGTTATCTTATATTTTGGGACATCACAAGTTGATAGGGACCAACCCCAACTCGGCCCCGTTTGGTCTAAGGGGCCCAAACAACACCCTATTTAGGAAGAACTATTGGTGAAATTATGTAACTGTAAATATGAAGGTACTGCAACTGCATAAATGGTCAAATAACCTCAACATTTTGCATGGTGTATCCTGACACATGGGGGAAACTAGCAGAAAAATATTCTGTGGCTTGCTGCCTTTCTACTGTCAAATATCACCCTCAGCATACCCCAAAAGAACATGGAAAACTCCCAAGTTTATAAGCTTCAATTTAAGTCCAAGATGACCTTTCTATCTCAAGGGAAACGGCTGCTATGACCAGAGGTCTTCACTGTACCTCAAACTGGCAGAAAACTGGATTTTCAGGCATTATCTTTTCATGTGGGATTAAGCATATTTTTTTCACATAAAGAATATTTGAAAAGAGTTGACTTATGTACTGCTGTACTATATGAAGTGAATTACTTTCAAAGTGAATGATATTAAAACTCCAGGTGGACAGGGTCAGGGTACAAGAGAAAACTATGGTAACCAGGTTATACAAACGCTCATAACCAACCAACCAGCGCACTAACCAACCAGCGCACTAACCAACCAGCACACTAACCAACCAGCACACTAACCAACCAGCACACTAACCAACTAACCAACCAGCGCACTAACCAACTAACCAACCAGCGCACTAACCAACTAACCAACCAGCGCACTAACCAACTAACCAACCAGCGCACTAACCAACCAACGCACTAACCAACCAACGCACTAACTAACCAACCAACGCACTAACCCAGGGGTGGGCAAAGCAAACCTCGGCCTGGGGGCGGAACAACTCTGGTCATAGCAGCTGTTTCCCTCTAGATACAAAGGTCACCTTGGACTTAAATTGGACTTAAATAAACTTGGCCTGTTAGTTTGTGGAAGTGACTTCTGGACCTGTGTGTAGCAGCATCTGCTCCTGTGCGGCACGCGGCCCCCGCCCCCTCTGACTCCTGCTCTGTGAAGAAGGCCGATGTCATTGACCTGACCGTAGACAGCTCTGATGAAGAGGAGAGTGAGCCACCATTAAAGAAGCGCTGTGCCTTCATCTCCAAAAGCCAGGAGCCCGAGCTGCACCCAAAAAGGTACTCTTCCCCTCACAACATACACCCAAGAGGTACTCCCTCCTCACAACATACACCCAAGAGGTACTCCCCCCCTCACAACATACACCCAAGAGGTACTCCCTCCTCACAACATACACCCAAGAGGTACTCCCTCCTCACAACATACACCCAAGAGGTACTCCCCCCTCACAACATACACCCAAGAGGTACTCCCCCCCTCACCCCCCTCACACATACACCCAAGAGGTACTCCCCCCTCACAACATACACCCAAGAGGTACTCCCCCCTCACAACATACACCCAAGAGGTACTCCCCCTCACAACACATACACCCAAGAGGTACTCCCCCCTCACAACATACACCCAAGAGGTACTCCCCCTCACAACATACACCCAAGAGGTACTCCCCCCTCACAACATACACCCAAGAGGTACTCCCCCCTCACAACATACACCCAAGAGGTACTCCCCCCTCACAACATACACCCAAGAGGTATTCTCCTCACAAGCCTCTGAGTGAAGTGCTGTTGTGATTTTGGTCTCTACTAAACTGAGTGTATTTCAGAGATGTATTGTGACAGTAAAGAGGCTCTGCTCATGTCTCAGCTTTCAGGGGAACTGCACTGAGTTAAAATACAGGATGGAGATTTATTGTCATCCCTTGTTAAAGAGACAGTATTATGTAAAATTTACTTTCTGTCATGTTATAACATTGTGACCACACATCTCTGAAGAGGTTTTAGATATCATCCACGCATGTTTGTGTAATCCAGAGATCTCTCCCGAGCCCTATTCAAACCCTTACGTTTGACAGACCATATGCAGTAGTTTCATTGTTACCTCCGCCAAGGAGATTATGTTTTTGCCGGCGTTTGTCTGTTTATTTGTTTGTTTGTTTGTCTGTTAGCAACATAACTCAAAAAGTTATGGACCGATTTTGATGAAATTTTCAGGATTTGCTGGTAATGTGAAAAGGAAGAACTGCTTTCATTTTGGGGGTGATCCGGAAGAAATCCTGGATTCTGGATCACTTTGAAATTTTAGTTAACATTGTGGTAAATGGGGCAAAAATTTTGTTTCTCAATATCTCGGTTAATTATTAACCAAACCCCATGAAATTTGACTCAGGGATGGACAATGGGATCCTCTTTCATATTCCAAAGGCTGATCTGGATCTGATCCAGAAGACTGATTTTATCGCAATTTATATATATAAAAAATGGGGGTAGTCCTTGGCGGAGGTCTGCGCTCTCTGAGTGCTTTTCTAGTTGATACTGTATCTTAAGTAAGATACAGTATCAACAATATCTCACATGTATTTGCATAACCTAAATGGTCTGTTTGTGTGTTTGGTAGTGTTCTGGCCTACCAGCCGCCCTCAGTGCGCATGCCCCAAGTGCAGGTGGCCGCACTGGACCCGTACCAGCTGAGCTCCACTCTGGCAGACTACGCAGTGCCCTTCCACCCGTCCACACTGGCCTCCATACCCACAGACATGCAGAGTGAGTGCACTGCAGACTCAGGCTCCTGTAGCTCCTGTGTGTAGTCCCATCACTAACACCTGTCTCTTGTTTAGGCCTGGACCTGTTCTCTCTCATTCAGGCTGATCCACAGGTAGGTTCAAGACCATGTGGGCTCTCTGGCTCCTGCTCAACACTGGGTCTCACTTACAATAGACTGTGTTCACGTTCTAGAATTTGTTCATATTATTTTAGATGGAGAGAGGCAATGTAGGTAGACTATCATGAGAGGTCACTTAAAAAAAGTTGGGCCAGACGATTGCCAGTTTGTGCGAAATGGGTATTTGTATAAAATCCTGCAGGGGATTACAGTGATGTTTCTGTGTTCTCTGATTCTTTCTCTGACCATGTGTCCATTGCAGCATTACAGGCCACCTACATTTCTGGACACTCTGCAGAGTGCTGCTGTGGCCAGCACCAGCGGGCCCCTGGCCTCCAGCAGCCGCTACGAGAGTAATGCACGTGCGTCAGCCCCCGTGCACGAGAGCAGAGTCATTTCGGAGGGGGGTGGCGCCTCCGGGGGCGTGGCTGCGAGCAGCATATCAGACATCATTTCATTGGACTGACAGCTGGCCAAATCCTATCCGCATGGACCTGGGCGCGGGCCATATAACAGCATACAAACCAATGGGGATGGGACCCGGTGAAGATACAACCACATCCTGGAGACATGGTGCTTTTCTATCTGTGCAGCTCTTTGCTCAAACACACTCCTCCTACTGGTCAGACTCTTGTGCTCCGAGTGACTGACAGGTGGATTTAACCAATCACAGTGAAGTGTGAACTCAGAAGCAGCGGATGGCTCGTGTGACCTCTTAAAGGCAGTAGAAACCGACTGAGAGTACATGAGTATAACCTTATATGGAACCTAACTGAAGACTTGATATCTGTGTACTCATGACTTGTTACTCTACAGGATGCAGGCCACGCCTACCTCTGGAATTGGACTAACAGGATCCATTTGGACCAAACCGGACCAAACCAGTTTAACCACCTGTGTCAGTGAGGTGCACTCCCACACCATTAGCATTAGCATGTGCTCATTACAGTGCCCCTGTGGCCATCAGCTGCACTTCGCTCTGCAGAGGGACTATCTCCATGGGTTCAAATCAATGTTCAGATCCTCCTGTTTTTTGCTTAAGTACTTTCATTTAGTCATACTATTATTATTATTCCTCTCAAATGTAATCTGCAGTCTATTTCTTTATTTTCTGATGGCAGTTTGAACTTCTTAAACCTTTCACAATATGGAGAAAACAAGTAATCCACAAGTAATTGCTGCAGTATTGTCAAATCCAGATTAATATTTGGATTTAAAGTGCTTTTGTTTGTTTTAGCAGTGTAATGCCAAACCACAAATATTTAATTTGTTCTAATTAAACCTTTGAGTAGTTTTGACTGGGCTAGAATCCCAGGGCCTTAGAGCGAGATGTCCAGTGCAGCAGTCATGGCCTAACAAGGAAATCCAATATTATTTTAACTCGTGGAGATATTTTCTTCTATGGATCACATACTCCCAAAATATGTCTGTCTTTAACAAATGCTGTAAACACTGCCAAAAACATCTATTCAGACAACTTGACTAAACAGGGTTATCGCAACAAGTTTGTTTTGTTTTTTTGGAGTAAGTCAGGATTACTCAAACATGGGCAAATGAAATAAAACACAACTCTAGGTATGTATTCTGAGGAAATAACGGCATCCTAACATGACTTAAAACTCCCAAGAGTCAGGTTTACTGTATTAATATGACCTTCAAGTCGACCAGATAGCCCTTTTTGGCAGTGTTCACGTTAACACTAACAGTATTCCACACAGCCTAAACTGAAAAATGGCACCAATTGAAAAAGCCATGAACTGTGTGGTGTATGGTGTGGCTGTCACTCATCAAAAGAAATTATTTTAAAACTTACTGTAAATACCAGAGATTTGCAAAGAATTTCAAATAAGTTGCGTTCATTTTCTTGAATTTGATGATGTCATCATTTCAGACTGAGGGTAGGGCCTATATAATTCCAGTCTGACAGTTAAACACTAAATTCCATCCATTTTCTTCTGTTCCGGGGCCGGGTGTGGGGGCAGCAGTCTAAGTAGGGGCTCCCAGACTTCCATCACCCCGGACACTTCCTTCAGCTCCTCCAGGGGGACCCCAAGGCATTCCCAAGCCAGCTGAGAGATATAGGCCCTCCAGTGTGTCCTGAGTCTTCTCGGGGCCTCCTTCCGGTGGGACATTTAAGGCACACACCAAAACACCAAATTCTATCATGGAATTCAGACTTGCCATCCAGCTCAGTTTAAACTATAGAGATTCTACAATGTTTTGATATCACACCAAAGCAACCTATTTGTGTGTACATGTGCAGACCCCTTTGTTTAAATTATTCCTTTTCACAACCTTTTCTTAGTTTGGTTTAAGGACTTTGCTTTTGTCTCTGTCGCCAAACCCATACTTCTGCCATCAGTGGCTTTGAGATCCTGAGAGTATACTACCAGGCAGCTGCTAGGGCCCAAACATGTTGGGAAAATGTCCAGTGCTATTTTCCATACTGCAAAGGTGGTCATATATTTGTAATCAAATGTTCTGAGGCCCATTTAAACATGTCCAATATTTATAATAACAATAATATGGCACTAGTCTTATGCAGCGTTTTCCAGACACTGAAAGTTGCATAACATTGTGTGTTATTCATTCACGCCACACAAAGGTGGTAAGGTACTACACATTCTTACAAGGTAATGTGGCTGAAGTGTCTTGCCTAAGGACAAAACAACACTTTTGTTTTTGCCGCTGGTACCACTCTGTGGCATAGTCTCTCATCCAGTGTTTGTAGAGACGTAAACTACACGGTTAGTGTGATAGTTTGAGCTTTCTACCATGTTATTGTTGTTCCATCATCAAAAACAGGCCGGAAGAGATTTTAGATGTCGTCATCCATGCATGTTTGAATATTTACTGATCTCTCCCAGGCCATATTTGAACCCTTCTTTCAGTTAGTTGTAAAATTCTGTGTAAGGCTGTGCCCATAAGCCTACGCCTCATGCTCCCACATGACAATTCTCCATAAATATACAAAAACATGATACAAGACACAGCAACGTGACAAACCTGATCAGATGTGCAGTAGACTTCTCAGCAGGATGCACGCATAGTGCTCTGAAGGGGGAGTGACTTAGTGTGGGGAGCTATGAGAGGGTGGACTCAGAGCTAGACTAGAGCATTGTTTTTGGAGAATATAATATCCAAAAGGGTGAACCAAGGAGGTTTTTCTGTTTGAGAGTCTAACGTGTGTGAATGAAACAAAACACAACTGCAGATATGTTTGATGAAGAAACAACACTAGAACAGATCAGACTATTTTATTCAGCAAACATTAAATAAGTTTGCTGAACAAAATAGTGTTAATGAATTTACTGAGCTCATCTGACTAATTCAAGCTTTTTTTTTTTTTTTTTGTAAAAAAAAACTGCCATAAACAAATCACTAGAATTTAAACTAAACAAAGTTTTACATTTTGAAGTACATTTTCAACATCTGAAATTCATATTATATCATAATATTTCAGCTCCCCTATGATTTTCCCCTTTATGTTCTGAGCCCTTTTATGCAGCGCCATAGTTTAAAGGCCCAGAAGATTTATTTAGCTGAAATCTAACGATCAGATGAATTCAGTGCCACATTTTATTTACGTTTGTGGAGTGAAATCTGAGTGTAAAAATACTCTGCTCGGTGTACATTTGTGACTCCACATAAGTGACTTGTTGGGCTGTGATGTAAAAAGACTCATTTGAATCTGTGTTTCGTCCGTTTAATGTGTGGGATTTTTTTATTAAAACATTTTATACTGGAAAAACGGTTTGCTGCTATAATGTCATTTATTTTATTTATCTTTTTATTTAGATCCTTTCATATAACCACAGTCAGACTAGTGGAAGTAGTAAAATGGTGTGAGGCGAAATTCACCCAGTCAAATGTTTGGACACATTCAATGTGTTCTTATACCTGTAAGTAAAAAAAAAATCTGAAACTTGAAACTGGCAACCCAAATAAGGGACTCTGCCCTGTCCTCCAGCTGAGTTTAAACCAACTGTACAGGGGATTATAGAATGTCATGTGAACTAAATATATCACATCAATATATGTAGTCAAATGAGGGACCTTGAGTTCATGCATGTGTGGGCTCCTCTCTGTGTAAATATGTCCTTTTCATAACCTCATAGGAACTTTGTTTGGATTGGATAATCGTCTTTAGAACTAAAGCAACAAATTATTGTATAAACAACCATGATCACTTTGTCCAGTGATTTGGTAATTAAGAATATTTCAGCAAAACAATTAAAACTAGCTTTGAAACAAAACAACTTGCTTCTGTAATGCCCAAAGAGTCCAGAAGGTGGAGACATTTGCCTTCACATCATGGGCAGCTTGAGTTCATATTCATACATTAACATTCTTAGGAGCACAGAGTTGAGATGGGATCGTGCACAAGTCAGAATTTTTCTTTCAGTCATAGCATTCTCACATACAAAATAAGAGTCAAAATCCCCTGTACCTAAAGTACATACAGTTTTGTTCAATTTGCCCAGTTTATGGTTCTTTAAACCTCCAGACCCCTCTCCTCTCTCACCCTGATCTTCTTAAACGTGCCTGCAAAATGTGTCCCTAAATGTGTGTTTTTTGTCTCTCTTCCCCTTTGGTGACTTGCATTAAAGGAGTACTGTGTAACTTTCCTGATGGAGTGTCCCCTCATGATCACCTCCATGGAGAAGTCATTGCATTACAGTTAAATATACTGCATTTATGAAATGACGAATGTTTAATTGCTCAAAAGTAGACTGGGCCCTCCACGAGTCTGACCTGTGACTTAGCCTGGTGCTGCCGCTGACTCGTCTCCATGTAGATGTGGGAGAATCCAGACAAAAAATATAAAATCACCATGGAAACAAAACAGGAGGCGGACCTCCAACAACAAAACAAAAGTAATTCATTTATATGGGGGTATTAAAGGCTAACTGTAAGTAGGGTTTGAATATTGTCTGGAAGAGATCATTAGATTATTCAAGCGCGCACAGATGACATTTAAAACATCTTCAGGCATGTTTTTGATGAGGAAACATTGTAACATGGTAGAAAAGATGAGTAAAACAAAAAGTAAATTTTATAAAATATCTCTCTTTTATTGTTTCCTCACATTCCCTCCTGTCCATAAGTGTGTGTTGTGTGTAGCCTGTACAGTGATGATGAGGTCATGTGACTTAAACGCTTCTCTTATATTGGCTTCAGGACCTTCACATTCTGAGCATAACTGTCATAACAACATGTTTGTCACATACAGGCACAATGTTCTCACTCTACATGTGACTTTACTCTGTCCCTCAACCATCAAAGTGATTCAGTGAAGAAAAACGACACCCACACACCCACACACGTGACACGCGACACACGACATACGACATGCGACACGCGACACAAGACATATGACACATGACCATAGTGGAGCAGATTAGGTCTCCAAACCACAAGAATCGTTCAGTTAGTGGTACAAGCACCAAATTTCTCATATATTTAGCTAACATCATGCTCTTTTAGAAAAACCCATTAGTCACCTGAAATATTCAACATGGAGGCCATTTTCAAGATGGCCGACCAAACAACTGATTTCACATAAGTATGAGCTAAAAGACAATAAGTCATCAAAATTAATGGAATTAATCACAAATTTGCAAATATATACATATACAGTAATGCAATGTCAGATATTCAACAAATTTTACACCAAATATATATTTAATTTTGCACAAAATTCGTAAAATTTTCTCGCAATTTGAAACCAAAAGTATCCCAATAAACATTTAGGAAGTAGAAATAAAAACACAAGGAAAATGAAAATAAAATGCAACATATAGGTTCATTTCAGAAATAGAGCCATTAAAATAGAAGCATTCATAGTGCTGTTTGTGCTTAAGAACTATTGAAAAATGTTTGCCATCATTAAGATTTTTGGCACATTCATTCAGCCTCATTTAACTGTATTGTTGATGTTTGTCTTAGTTCAGAAGCTGGTTCTGTGTTATCACATAAAAAAACATTGCTGGAGTTTCTGCACAGTTCTTCTAATTTTTGAATGTCCTTCGTCTGAGTCGACTGTATCACAAGCTGCTCTTTTGTTTGCCCGTTCAAGTTTACTGTTACTGAACAATCATCTGCAGCTTTGGTGATTAAATGTTTTATTAGTGTTTCTTCAAATCCACGACCATCATTCAGTCTGGTACATCCTGTCAATTCAGGTCCGGCTATCGAACTTTAATACTACAACTAATATTGGTATAACTAATACTAAAACTACTAGCTGGTGTATTTACAGGGCTAATTCGAGAGCATTTGTGACACTACATCATGCTACATTAACTACATTAAATATTAGAATGTTACTAACACTACAGAGCCGACACTGAACCCCATGTTGAGTTTCACAGTATGCCCTGGTTGTGTTAAGACCCCACCCATTTCTACAATAAACACATATATATTCTAACAAAAACATATTTTTAGCACATTGGTACTTCATATATTTAATATTTCTTCAGGCAGGTTTCAATAAGATTTGTCCATGAGATTACTTTCTACTGTGTGTTTTTATTTAATGCCATTTATTTGTAGATATTATAAATATAATGAAAGGTGATAAATAACCATCAAAAATGATTTGATGAAAAATTTCACTAAAAATAGATATAATTAATTAAATAACAAACCTATGCTTCGACATTTATACATATATAGTTATATATAGTTATTATACATATATACTATGGCGGCCATCTTGAAAAATCTATCTCCACTCCAAATTTGATGCTTGTACCACAAACTGCACGATTATTTCAACTACCAGCTCCACTACACCACACCACCAGCAGGGGGATTTTTATTTTATTTTTTATTTTTTTACTTTCTACCATGCTATAATTACTTATCTTATATGACTTATCTGAGTCATTCGCGTGTCCAAGATGCTGGAGTTCGGAAATTTGGTCGCACGAGTAAATCTGCTCTATTCTCTGTGTTCACTCCAGAAGGATCAAGTGCATCTGTGCGGTGTCCTCTGCATCTGCTGTTTTCATTTGGAAAAATGGTGGACTTGGACTACATCAAGCGGGTTGACCAGACTGGGACTGAGACCAGTTTAGTCCTGGTTTAGACTTGGTACGGTCCTGGTTCAGTCTGTATGTGGTGCAAAAGTCCGGCATCGCATATCAGGACTGAGCCAGGACCAGATCAGGGCTAGGACCAGGACTGAGACCGGGACCAGAATAAAGGAGAGGGGGACAGAGACTGGTGTAGGTCCTATGTTATTAGGTTCTTTTTTTCAGACCTAGAGTGTTATTTCATACCTGACAGTTTCGACTGCTCACTAGCGTCTTCCTCAGAGTGGTCACATGATGTTGCTGTGACGTGTCCAGTCAGCTGATTTAAACAGGTTTTGGCGCTGTCTTCCTACCGGTGGAGGCAGGACGACAGCGCCACCTGCAGTCCGACTTCCTCAGGACAGCATCCCAGGTGTGTGAGAGTAAAAAAGCCCCCTCGTCCCGGTTTACAGTCCTGTGGGCACGTTTCCTTATTTGGATTGCTTCTTTAATCCAGCGGCGATGTTTGTTTTCCTCTGTCCCAATGATGTTTGCTCCATCCCAATCCATAACGTGGTCTCTCTTTTGCAATGGTCAGAAATGGCCGATTTGAGTTGTTCCTGTTCTGCTTTGTGTTTCGTTGCTCGTGTGCACGCCTTCGCTGTTTCCTTCTCGCATTCTGTTCTATGTTCCTTTTTTCGTGTACTGAACGCCCTCCCTGTTTCCCCGATGTGTGTTTTATTGCAGGACATGCAGGGAATTTCGTATATTACATTACATTTATGCTCCGGTTCTATTTTGTCTTTTGGGTGAACGAGTATTTGTCTGAGTTTTCTGTATGGTTTTACTGGTGTGTTGATATTGTGTTTTTTCATCGCCCTCTGTACTTTTTCTGTTATGCCCCTGATGTATGGTAATGTTACAATGCCTGTGCTCATTTTTACTGTTTTGTTTTTGTTTCTTTGGTTCTGTTTTTCTTTCTCCTTAACCTGTTGTTTCCCTTTGTTTATTGCCCATTTTGGGTATTGGCATTGCCTTAGCAGATTGTGAATGTGTCTGTCTTCTTCCTGTTTGTCTTGTTCATCTGTTATGATGTTGGTTCTGTCATATAATGTTCTTACAACGGATAGTTTGTGGGCTGTGGGATGTTCTGATGTCCATAAGAGATACTGGTCCGTGTGGGTTGGTTTTCTGTGTATTTTGATTTTTATGCTGCCATCTTCCCTGTGTGTGATGTTCATGTCCAGGAAATTTATTGTATTGTTTGTTTCTTCTTCGTGTGTGAATTGGATGTTTCCAGTGCTGTCTATTGTGTTTAGGTGGTCTGTTAGCTCTTGTGTATGTCCGTTTTCAGTTTTTTCCAGTATGTCGTCTACATATCTTTTCCACATAGTGAGTCTGCATGTCGTTGGTGCTGTCCTTATGGCCTTCTCCTCTAGGTCTTCCATGAAGAACCCACTCATGATGGCTGATAAGGGGTCCCCCATGGCGAAGCCCTCTTTCTACCTGTATATTTTTCCTTTGAATTTGAAGTATGTGGATGTGGAAACGAAATGAAGAAGCCGGGTTATGTCTTCAACTGTCAGGTTGGTTCGTTTGTGTAGTGTTTTGTCTGTCCGTAGGTGGTTCTCAACTATGTGTAATGTGACGTTTATGGGAGTTTTTGTGAACAGGGATACTACATCGTGGGATATTAATATTTCATTGGTTTGTATTTTGATGGTTTTTA